GTTGCATACGTGCCGCATGTTGGAGGTGTGCTCGTGTATATGCATGTATGTATGTATTTATATTCATGTGTATGTGTAGCTGTGTGTATGTGTGTATGGGGAGACCCGTTGGAAGTGGTGGGATGTGCGGTTGTGCTAACCGTAAATCATCGCTATCTGCTCACTGGACGTTACAACGCACCCGAGCTGCGAAGAGGGACCAGATCATGTAAACCTGATCGTTTGCAAATGGGGTTTTAATATCTGTGGCAAGCATGGGGACTCATGGGGGCTCATCCGGGCTCATCGGGGACGCGAATTTCAGTAAACATCCGGCTTTGTTCTGCACTTTGCCGTGCACCTCTTCTCCTGCCTACAATGCCATTAACTGAAATGCCGCTCCAACACCACTTCATCGGATTTAGACATGTCGCAGCCGTACAGCTGTTACGCCGTACATGTAAGTCCTCCTCTGTGACGCGGCTTTGTATTCCATTACCAGCTGTAGCAGCTATATAGCAGCGTTAGTACTCAGTGGCCAGTGGCGTGGCGTCAGTAGTCGACGCCAGCAGTGGATTGTGTCTGTCTGTGTGTCTGTCTGTGTGTCTGTCTGTGTGTGGCCGCCACGTACATCGGGTGGGGGGCTATGCGCCGGCCCGGGCAGTACCTGTTGGTTGCTTGTTCGGTGTTTGTGTGTGTTTGCGTCCATGCTAAGGCCAAAGCCGAAATAAGTCCACGAAGACGGAGGGGTCCCGCGGACCGAGGGGTGACTGGGGGGAGGAGCGGCACTCCATCGGTCCACGTGACATACGTCCTGAGATTGACGGGCTGTCTGCTTCTGTTCGGTGTTGCAAACGTGTCGGAAGGTTGTCGCCCTAGGTGATGTAGGTATTGTCGCACGAGAATAATAGGTAACATCGCACGTGGCTGCAGTTGAAATGAAACAGGGTTATGTGCGATTGGTTGGAGAACTGGTTGTTGTTGTTAGTGGCGGTGGTTATTGGTACGTTGTGGGCTCGGACGGGCTCTACAGACCTGTTGGTTGAGGGCTCTGCAGTCGGCGGCCAGGAGCCCGGACGGGGGACGGTGAATCGACGCTACCTCCCGGTCACCCGCCCCTGTGAAAGGCCTCGGGGGTACGTTACGTGCTCAAGAGGGGGCCCCCCCGTCTGCCTGGTCCCTCCTCCCCGGGGCAGCTGCCACCGTGATCGCCCCCTGGAACCCCCATCAGGAGTTGGCAACAACAACTTTGGGCGTCGGGGCAGTTGTTGCTGTTGTCGCTGCTATTGTTGTTGTTGTTGTTGTTGTTTTCCGTTCTCGATTTGGCATCGTGTAATTCTCCTCTTTCCCCCCTCTCCACCCGGCCGCCCTCTCACGGCTAAGGATCACAACTTCGATTTCATAGCTGCGAACGTGGACTGTTTTCAGACTTTGCCGATGTTAGTGTTTGCTTGTGCTTATGCTTGTGCTTATGCTTGTGCTTATGCTTGTGCTTATGCTTGTGCTTGTGCGATGCAATGCGATGCGATGGGGTGGGGTGGGGTGGGGTGTGGGGTTATCGGGTAGAGGGTTGCGCAAGGATGCGCACCCCCCCCCGAAGAGCAGGCCGGCAGATGGGAGGGGAAACCGGGCGGGTGCGCAACAGGTCAGAGCAGGTCGCGCAGGGTAGACACATCTTGTGATGCTTTTGGCTGAAATCTTTTGCTTGCTATCGCACGACCGACATCTGCAGTTTTGTTGTATCGGGGGGGGTGTTAGAGGATTGTTGGTTATAGGTAAGCGTGCGAGTCCGGGTGCAGTCCGGGTGCAGACAGAATAATGTGGGGAGGCAAGGAAGGAGGGCGAGGGGGCGGGGGGCGCCCAGGCGCATGTGGGTCAGGGCAGAAGGCGCCGTCTGTAGGAACAGGTGGAAGGGGGGCGAGCGTACATTTCCCTTCTGGCCTGAAGCTCTCTCCTTCCGCCTCCGGCCTCATTATAATCGTCCCTTCACCCAGACAGTTATACGTCGGGAAGTGAGGCGGGAGGAGATACGGAGGCCCGCAGTCGGGGAGGAAAGGATTACGTTCGGAGGGTGGGTTCATTCATGTCCCTGCTGCGTCGTTTAGGAGGGGGACTGGGGAATGAAGCAGGTCGTGGGGACTTGGATTGGTGCTATAGGGCCATTGCTCGTGGCCTTAGGTTGTGTATTACGCTCTTGGCGCTTTCTCTTCTCAGTGCCGTGCCGTGCTGAGCCGTGCTGACCCGTTTTTCGCCGTGCTGCTGCTGCTGCTGCTGTGCCCGCACCTGTGTATGCCCCCGTTGTTAGGTGCATTGTCTGTCCAGCAACGGAGTAGTGAGATGTGCGGAAGTTCTGCTGCCTTGCGTGGCTCTGTCTGTGATCAGATTGAGAGATGTAACTGAAGTGCCAGAAGGCGCGGGTGCACCAGCCCTGCAATGCATGGTATCGCCCGCGGCTTTAAGGCGACGGTGATCCCTTTCTTCTCGTGTTTGGGCTTTTTTTTGGAGACGGTGGGCGGTGACCGCTGCGTGCGGCAGTGGTAGCGCTGACGATGACATGGAGATTCGGTTTAGGGCGGGAGACGTTTGTTTTGCCTGTAATGCACTTCACACGACATTGAACTGAAGTTAATCAGCTCAATGTCGTGTTAATACATAGAAGTCCTCGCTGACAGCCGGCTCTCAGCTCTTTATGCGTCCGAACGATACGGTGGGAACGAACTGCCGGAGGGGACCCAGCATGCGATCTCACCCGATTCGAGGATGGAAGCGACGCTTCGCATACCCCTGCCGAGAGAGGCGAGAGACCGAAGGGTGCATACATACATATATATGGCCAGGGATATATATGTATATGTATATATGTATATGTATATATACATGTATACATATATATACATATATATATACATATATATATACATATATATATACATATATATACATATATGTATATATGTATGTATGTATGTATGTATGTATGTATGTATGTATGTATGTATGTGTGTATGTATGTATGTGTGTATGTGTGTATGTATCTATGTATGCACCCTGCGGTCTCTAGAAAGGGAAGATCTCCCCTTGACGCATCGGTAGGGGAGTATGTATACCAGGATACGCGGTCGTCTACAGGGTCTTAAGAAAAGGTAGTGGTGATGGTGGGACCGACAAGCTATGAACAAATTTAAATGGATATACTTGTACTTGTTGGTGGAAGCATCACGCTAGGTTAGTCGCGAACGTTTCTGACGTCCAGTGCAGTTTTGTTTCCGCTCCCACTCACGAACCTCAAGGGGATCGAACAAAGCGATGCTAAACGTGGCGCAAGCCGATCTCTTCCGCTTCGGCATTTACTACGGAAAAGAAGCAACGTTTGTCGTGCCAAGAACGCCTCTAAAGACGCCTCTAGAACGAGCATCCCACATTTTTCTTCTCGCCCACAAGATCCCACTTATGCGAATGTATCGCATTCCCCAAGACTATTGAAGCCGCACGGCGCAGTGTATATACAGCTACAGACCGCACGAACTTGTGGGTGCACAGTTCCGGCCCTGTACCAGGTTTCGCCTCCGTCTCCTTCTGCTGCGCACCATTACGGCCCTCAATTGGGAGGCAAACGCATGGCCCAGCTGTTTCGCCATGTAGAGCGCTTCCTCGGGCCATTCATTCCGCAGCGCGCCAGCACGACATCGCAGCAGGTCCTATGGCCACTTTAATTGATGTTCTGCTGACGGCCGAGTCAGCAACCAGAACAGAAGCATACGCCCATACCTCCCCGCAATAGACGCAATAGACTTCCACGCACCCGCTGTAGGAAGTGTGCACACTTTGGCGCGCAACATCACATCCAGGCAGATGGATGGGAGGGCCCCCCCCCCGTCACCGCCACTACGATGCGAAAGCGAGTTGCGTATGCCGTACACACAGATCACGTCACACAGCACGTTGAGCACGGCACATCATAGGGTGCAGAGGCTACTGGGGACCACCAGAGGCACATACATACATACATACGGACTGACGTTATACGAGGAGTCTTCGTCGCAGCTGCTGCGTTCAAGGCAGACATAGGACGCATCATCGCATCCACGAGGTGCGCCCCCTCCTCCCCCCCGTCCTCCATCTTCCCCGTCTTTGGGGCATCCTGTAACACATACACACGGCACCCCGACCGGGAATGCAGTCCGTCGGAAGACACCACGGCAAACTGCGCCAGTGTACGCCGGGTTACCGCCGGAGGTTCCCACGAGGCGTTGCAACAAAACCCCTGCCCATCCTATAGCTACTCTCACCCCTGGAAAAGGGCTCGTCATTTTTCCGGCCCCGAGTTGCTAGATAGGCGCCGCTTGCCATCATCCCCCACACTCACACACGCTCCCTTACCCCATATATATATATATATATATATAAATTGTGTCTGTGTTGTACACCTCCTGGAGCTGCGTTCCCGCCCTCTGAACGTGTCGCCGGGGGCCCCCATACAGCGCGGAGGGAGCCCTGAGGGAGCCCTGAGCCCAAGGAACAACCGAAGGCTGTCCGAAATAGCTAGAGAGAGATATCGTGAATATATGCATATGTCCTGCGCAACGAACGCTGCTGCTCTACCCGACGTCTAGGTACTAGTGCAAGGTGCAGTAGCACCGCATTGGCCCCGAAACCGTTGAATCATCCGTCGCATCGCGCACCGCGCCACGTCACATGCCCCCCGTTCGAGCTGGGCTACAAAACCGAAGGACCTGAAGGCTGACGTAGGTACGTACCATTAATACGTACTAATAGCACGTAAATGTCTTGCGCACTAAATGGCTTTAATCCACAGAGCACCTTCCACAGCGCAATACCCATAACAGACGAATGGGCTGAAGTAAGCGAGGCGGCATTGGGCGCTGAACTGCATTTGGAGCGCCTTCCCAGGTTTGAACCATCAGGGTGTTCCGTGCTTGAAGGGCAACGTAGAGCAACGTAGAGCCCTATGATTACCGTAGGTAGAACCCATATTTGAAGTCCAGCCATGTGTGAGAGCATAGAACATTTATTACTACAACGGGATGCTCGTACATACGGCTACTAGCCATCGGTCCCGCCGTCCACAGCTGCGCTGCCGCTCTCAGGGCAGTACAGTGTCGTAGACCTTGTACGGCGGCGTTGGCAATGCAATGTACATATTCCTGCGATGTGACAACTTTGAAGAGTGCGCAGTGGACGTGACTACATCACACTCTCCACACAACCCCCCACTTCCGAACTTCACTTCACGACGAGCGTTCGATGAGGAGTTCGAGATGGGGACTGCGGCGGCTATTTTTATTAAATCATATTTGTTGGCACAGCAACAAAACGCCCCAACGTCGGCAAGTCCCAACGTCATCATGCCGAGGCAGGGATACGAGGGTAAGTATATGTTTTAGTGAGTCGCGTGTATAGGAAAACACCCCACTTAGCAACTAGAGAAAATTTCAACATGGCGACAAGAGCCCGGGGACTCCCCAGCGAGGCGGTCGCTGCTGCGTCGTCCAGAGTACTTCGCGGCACACCAGCACCACTACCACCACTAGTTTTACCACCACCACGACCACACAACGCATTTCAAACCATTTCAGCGTATACACCCACCAAGCAGTTCTTCCCGTCACGCATATACATACAACAACCGAGCTGCCGCCATTCAGAGGGCGCAGCATATTCCCACTTCTTCATTGACATGAGTGAAAAATGGTACAGAAGGTACAGGCTGTATCTCGAATTCGTGGGCCGGAGCCCCTGCCGCATATTTGGACCAGCCGATACAGCCTGCCTGCCTGCAGAGGCCGTGGGGCCCCTCTCTCTCGCTAGAGATGTGCTCTAGGCACCAAGGGTGACCCAACCATAATGCGGGCGGTAAGACCCCCCCCACCCCCCCACCCCACACACAACTACAGCACCATTTACATTCCACGTTGCTTTCGAAGTCCCCCCCCCCAGTTCCCCAGCAGCCGGGCCCCCACCACCACCACCAGTAGTTTGCGCAGTCTCAGGTAATCGCAAATGAGCGCTGCTACAGCAGCAGCACCAGCAGCACGGCAGCAGCACCAGCAGCACGGCAGCAGCACCAGCAGCACGGCAGCAGCACCAGCAGCACGGCAGCAGCACCAGTAGCAGCGGCAGCAGCACCAGTAGCAGGGCAACCACGACAAGCCATCGATACCATGTGTATCTCCTAGCCTAGTCTCCGGTCAGGAACCGACCAGCTACAGTAAACACACACACACACACACACACAAAAAAAAAAAACATATACGCCGCGAGCCCCCCATCAGGCCATTTCTCTACGGCAAGCTCTCCCACTGCACCGCATTCACAGCCCTCGCTGCGAAACCCCCGTCGGTGAACGGCAACTGGATGCGGCCCCGCTCTTCTCTCTCTGTCACGCACACACACACACACACACACACACACACACACACACACACACACACACACACGCGCACACACACAGACACACACACACAATGTGAATGTGGCATTAAAACACAAACAATGGGGTGGCGCATGCCTGTCTCAAATTGGACGCATGCCGGGCCAGAACTCCATAAACACCACCGGGGTGCCATGGCGGCGCTAAAGATATGCAGAATATGGAGCTCCTAATCACAGCAAGGAGGACGAGCACAGCGTTACACGTGGACAACGCAACGCGGCGACACGCAGCGATGAGAACACGGTGACACTCGAGCTCTGCTCTTCCTCGGCCGCGTGTTGCCACCCGTGCAGATCTGCACGACCCGATGGTCAGAAGCAGAGCATGAATCGTCGGTCCTTATCCGCCCATTATACCCTTGCAATGCCAAGCTTTGGATATTCAAACCTGCAGCGTTCCTCAGCAATCAATTTAGGGAAGTACGAAAGTACCAGGAGCTCCTGGTCGTGGGGTTTCATCTCCAACAAGCGTCCTTATGCACGTATCCAAGCAACAAGTAGTAGCGATGTTCCCTTGCACGGTGCGAGACAATGTGCGAGAGACATACACACACATACACATACATACACACACACAAATACACACATAGAGAAAGCTATATAGTAAGTTCATATAGAGAAGACAAGCAAGACAACCAAACCCAGAGCAGCACACACACGCAGCTTGGGGGTTGCAGCGCGACACACGGACATTCCAAAGAGGCGGTCGTCAAACCGCAACAGCGCGGCACCGAAAGGAACAATAATGCAGATCACTTCCCCCCCACACCGTAATTCACATGCATGCAAATCCTCAGGTTGCCACTGATCGGAAGTCACTTGTCCGCAAACCATTCTTTGCATTGCTGGTAGCAATGCTGTGCAAAATGTTTCAATGACACAGACCAAATGGCTATGATGTGTGAAAACCTGCACGTTCCGCGTATGATGTGCGAGGGATGTGCACTCCCCCTAACACCCCCACCCCTAATTACACGCTGCCATACAAGTTACGATCTAGGAAAGCATTTTATATTTTCCATTGCCGCCGCTTCGGCTCGGTGCTCAGCATCGAAAATTGGATTCCGGGAACAAAACATGTGAAACCTGGCGACAGACGTGGACCCTCTCAGTGCCCAAAGAGTGCCAAGGGGAGGAGGAACTACAAAGGTCTTCCTCAAGAAGCGCTTGTGCGAAAACCCTAAAAAAAACCTTTCCTCCAATTCGCTTTGAAACTCCAGTGCTCCTTTCCTTTCCTCACACCATAATCCGGCTCACGCCTTTGGTTGGTTATCGAAGGTCCGAAGGTGGGGCCTTCTTTTTGCACCCCGCCCCGCCCCATTTACAAAACCCTAAGCTGAGACAAAAGTTGGATTGTACACCCCAAGGCCAAAGAAGAGCCAAAGACAACCCATGGGGGCTGAATCGCAACCGCAACCGCAACCGTAACCTCCAAACTACAATCACAACGCCTGTAAAACTTACAGGGAATTAACTCCTTGCCGCTAGAGTCCGCTCCCGCTCCGCCCACTCCAAGCGGCCCTCGAACTCGGCCGGCCGTCCGGGCCGGGCCCGCCCCCCCCACTCCAACAGCAACTCCGCAGTACGGGAGCAGTGCGGGGTGAAGACTGCGGTCGCGCCGCCACAGCGAAGTGTAAAACCGGCAGTGATAATCGTCCACTACGGATTGCGGAACTGTTACGACGACGCCCGGACTGTCGCCGCACCGTCGCCGCCGCCACCCGCCTCGCCAGCGTGCGGAAATGGAGGTCTGCAATCCTATTCGGCTATTAAGCTTCGGCGAGTTGTTCTCGGGTAAAGTAAACCCTGTCCAGGGCAGCGTTCGCAAGTTGTCATTCGGTCTTTCATTGCGCAGCACACATGCGTTGTCGTATATGCCAGAAACGGCCCGAGAAGTCGTCGTTGGGCAAATCTCTCTCCACGGGTCGTCATCACCATGATCATCATCATCATCATCATCATCATCATCATCATGCCCGTCATCACGATGACCATCACCATCGGGATCATTCATCATCATCATCATCAACAACAGCAATCATCGATAACATTATCATGGTCTTTATGTTTATCTTCATCGTCACTCACCACCACGGTCAGCATTATCGTCATATGGCTAAACTGCGTGGGTTCCGTGGCCATGCCTCCGTAGCCGAGGAGACCAAACTCATTGCCAATTGCCGTCAGCAGCCATGGGGTTGGCCCCCCAACATGGCTCCCCCCAACAGCCATATTTCCATCCGCCGAGCTTCGGGGCATTTGCAGCGCTCGTAGTCGCAACTTTCTCATTTCCTCGCATCTAAGAGAAGTGGAGTCGTGATAAGAGGCGAGGCGCCAACATAACCCCCTTCCAGCTTCGATTTCGGGTTTAACAACACCTCCATCCACCCCCTCACGGCTGACGTCACCCCCTGCGATGCCCCCTCACGTCTGATACACAGGACCGCGGCCTGGAATCCCGTTCCCCTCCTCCTAAGGCCTCCCCATCAGGGGCCCCCCATCTGAGAAAGGCTGTTCGCGTGCCGGCGAGATACAAATAATATGTTTGAGCGAACCGCCGCATGATGATGAATCCACTAGCCCGATACCGTCCCCCATGGTGCGCCCCAGTGTCAGTGCCAGTGCCAGTGCCGCAACAGGTGGTAGTGGTGCAGAGAACGCAGTGGACCCGCCCGCGGGTCCCAGATCTAAACAGCTGCCGCCGCTACCGCCGCTACCGCCGCCGCGGCCTCCTCATCCGGGCCAAGGACAGCAGTTCCTCCCACCTCCGACGTGCTCTCCTCCTCCTCCGTATTACCTCCGGTTCGCGCATCCACAGCCACCCTGGAGAGCAGCTCCCACAGCGCCGGTAGCCTCCTGTTGAGTGCACCGAAGCGCGGAGGTTAATAGCGGAAACGTGTAAAATCTTGCAACTTGACTAATGGCCGCTCTATTCCGGCCGATGCCACTGAAACCATGGAGCAACAGAGAGGCGGTCATGGAGTACGCGGCGGTCATGGAGGTGCATACATACATGCATGCATACATGTCCCCATACATATCCATGCAAGGTGCTACAAAAGCCTTCAACCTCCGTGCCTATAGAATAAAGGCGAAGTCTTATTCAGGTATGCACATCACACTGAAGCACATCCAATATTTCAGAAGTTCATAAGATTATTTGCAAACGTGGACCAACACGTATAGAAAAAAAGGTAGACAAAAAGTAGACCAACAAAACTACCACTTCAGCTTCTTCTCACAACAGCAGAACCCCCCGCGCCCCACGCACCTCGCGTCAATGCACCTCCTCACGCGGGAAACCGCCGCCTGCAGCGCCAACCTGGCCTCGGCTGACAACCCCACCGCCGCCAGCGGCGGCACCGGCAGCGACGGCGATGGCGACGGCAGTGCCAACCCTGGCGGCCCAGGCACCTCTTTCGGAGCCGTGCCAATTTTTCGCTGCTCCCCCTTGCCGACAGCCACGTCACCGGTCTCTGCCCTCGTCCCCGACTCCACTGCCGCCAACACTGACGCGCTTTCTTGGCTGCTGCTGTTGCTGCGCCTGCCGTCACCTAATCCGGGACCTTCCCGACGCGCAGCCGCGTCATCGTCACGCCCGCGCCCGTCTGAGCTCGATTCGCGACGTCCGGCCGTCATCCGCAAATCCCCCAGGAAGCTGGTCAACGAGGCTATGTGAAGGTCGTCCTCGCCATCGCAGTCGCAACAACCCCCACGGATAACAGCCAGCCCTGACGCCAGCGATACCTCATCACCACGCTGCAGCATGCACGTACGGCCGACGGCTGGAAGCTGCAGCTGCTCCCCCTTCCCCTCCCCCTCCTCCTGCGCTTCTTCCACACCACCAACACCAACCACACCAACCCCAAAGCTCGTGGTCGCCATGTGACTGCTGAACGCGGACACAGGTGCGCCGGCGGCGGCACCGGCACCCCGGACTGCATGAGAGCCATCAACAGTCGCAGCATCTGGGCCATCGCGGGAACGCGCCGGTGCGCCGGCGGCTAGGTACACCGCGCCAACCCCAGCAGCGGCTGTGGCAGCAGCTACCAAACCCGCGCCCGTGTGCTGGTCAGCGACACACACAGCACTGGTACCACTGTCCCCACTGGCGCCGCTGGTGGCCGAGCCCGGTAGGCCGACGCGGCTAACGTCGCTGCCGCTGCCGTCGCCGTCGCTACTGCTGCTGCTGCGTTGGTGCACCAACGTCGCCATGCAGGAAACGGGCCCGGTGTTGACTGCCTGCCCTGCGGTTGCCAACCGAGGCGTTGCAGAAGCCGTACCCCAAGACTCCTGGGACGCCGACTCGATGGAAACAAGGCTGCCGCTGTTAAGGTAGCAGCCAGGGAGGAGGTCACGCGCACGGTCCGGTGTCCCCAGGGACCGCCACCGTAACGGCGCCACTGCTGCACTGGCTCCGTGCCCGCCGAACCCGAAATCCTCACCGCTGCCCAATGCACTACTGCTGAATGCCCTGTCGGCTGCAGCGGCGGCGGGGACACTGCGCAGATAAGGGTCAGGCTCATCACACACGCTTGCGCGACGCGGTAGGTTGCCCAGCACAAGGCCGAGGTCCGCCGCCAGTTCGCGCCAGACGTCCTCCCGGCCCGCATCGGCCAGCTCCCGCCACAGCGCCAACAGCTCATTCCGCTGCGACACCGTCTCCACCACCAGCAATGGCCAGGAAGCTGCCACCGCATGGCCGCCCGTGGCCTCCAACAGCGCCAGCCCCGCGCAGGGCAACACCGGTAGCTGCAGTCGCAGCGGCCGTAGACCGACCATGGCGCTGTCCAACAGGCGACCGGTGCGCAAGCAGCAGCCACCGCTGCGGGAGGCATCGTCGCTGCTGTTGCTGCTGTACGGCTGAGCAGCCACTGACGCAGCAGTGACCGCCCTCGGCGAGGAGCAGCTGGCCGGCGGGCCGGCCACACGCCGCGGCGTCGACACCATGAGCTCGTTCTCCTCTTCCAGCTTGCTATCGTCCCTCGCGGTCCTTGCGCAGTGCGCCGGCCCAAGGGACTGATCGGTGCAGCCAAACGAGGCTCCGACAGAGTATGTAGGCTCCGAAACCTGCGGCTCATTGGTACGGCTGTACGGCGCCGCTCCGCCGACCCCACCGTCATTGATGCCGCCGCCGCCGCAGGCCGCACCGGCCGTCATGCCACCGAAGCTCGTCATGTTGCTCGTCCAACTCCATTCGCTGCGAAGGCTGAGCCTGTCATACAATGTCGCTGTCGTACCGAGCGTAAAAGCCGTTGTTGCGGAGCTGCGGCAGCTCAGCCTGTCATGCAGCGTCATCGCTGTGGTCAGGGTTGCGGAGCTGCAGAGACTTACGCGCCGCGACAGGGGCCCCAGGCAATGGACGAGACCTGTCGTCGCAGAGGTCACGGAAACCAGCGGTGCACCGCCGCCGCCATACGGCTGCCCCGCACACACATGCGACGCAGCAGAGGGAGTTGAATGGCGTCCAAGGCTCTCGCCCTTGGACGCCAGCGCAGGGACGCGCGGAGAAGGGCTGCCGGCATGTCGACCGCCAGAGTCGTTGCTCCCGCAGAGCGTCATGCACCCGTCGTCGGACTTCGACCTGCAGTGGAACGTGGGCGGACGGCAGCAGAGCTGCAGCTGTTGCCTCGGCTGCTCCCGCTGCTGTAACAGGAGCTGCGAGAATGGCTGTCGCGCTACCGTAGCAGCGGCGGTAGCAATCGTATTATATAGGCACCCTGGCTGATGGCGGTGCTGCCGCTGCTGCGCCACAGGGGGCGACGGGGGAAGAGATGACGGTAGAGGTGCGGTGAGGAAGCAGCTGCGCGGGTGCTCCGTGGTTTCGGAGACGGTCCCCTTGGTACAGCCTGGCGCGCTGCCAGCAGCAGGCGGCGTCCCTTTCCTGACGCACAGCTCACGACTCGACATCCCCAAGGATGATGGACCCTCCGCCTCAGAAACCTCCTCCACAGCGAAGCAGTAGAACGGGCAGGGGCCTGTCGCTAGGCTAGGACTCGCCTTCAGCTGCTCTGTAGGCCGCGGCGCCATGGCTACGAGGTCGGCCAGCCTGTTCGTCGCACCAGCGGACGCGTTGACGGTGCGGAATAGAGCCGGCGACGTCGCGCCTGGCACCGGCGCTTTCAACCCAGACAGAGGACCTGCTAGGGGCCAAACTGGCGGCGATGGGGAGCGGCGCGCTGCGGCCCAGCAGGAGGTCGTGGAGGTCGTGGGCTGCAGCCAGCCTTCGGCAACCGCTGCTGGTGCTGCTGTTGAGGCTTGATCTGCCGGAATGGGAGCAGAGGACCCGTCCTCTGGATCGACGGCAACCGCTTCCACCGTGCCTAGAGAGCCTGCACCTCCTGCCATGCGGACGCATAGCTGCACGACGCCCTGCGGGCTCGCGAGCTCAGCAGGGCCGTATAGCTGGATCTGCTGCGCATTAACTGCGTCTGCAAAAGAGTTCAAGGGGAAGGAAGGAGCGCGGATGCTGTCAGCTCTGCAAAGTGAATGTTGTGAAAGAGGTTTAAACAACAGTCATAAACAGAGCAGGAAAGACAGAGGAGAGCGGCGGAAACATAGTCAGAAGCAAGGACAGAGCGGAAGGAAGCACAGCTCTGTGCTCGTGTATGTCACAACCCGTCCCTTCACACTGCAAGACAGGCGCCTCTCGCCCAATAAGACCACCTGCGTGAGCATCAGCGTGCAGCTCTAGGTGATCTAAAGCACTCAAGGGGACAGGACGATAGGGAGCGGAGTCGGGATGGGGGCAAAGCGCGATCGGAAGGATCGAAGGCTGTAAATCCCCAAACTCCCGGCTGCCCAATCAAACAAGATTGCGGATTGGGTTTTCAAGGGCTGGGTGGTTGGCTTACTTATTGCTCTATGGAAGATAACAGAAACGAACAGGAACGCCGCATACCTGCCACCAGCACTGGCGGTCCCGAGCAAAGCATCAGTACTTCGGGCCAGTGAGCTGCAAAGCCCAGCCCGGCATCCTGCATGGCAGCCTCCCACCGCCGCAACTTCGGCGGAGCACCTGGCTTGCAGTCCAGAACCTACAACAGCCAAAACGCGGGGTTAATTAAACACACACACACACACACCACAGCACGCGCAGCAGCTGAGCGGCTGCAGCCACAGTCGCGGTAGAGGACATCCCAAAGGCGCAACTCAGGAACCAACACAAACGGATATCATGCCTTGCTGCATCCTCCTAGAAGGAAATGGCCCTGCGTGTATGCATGCATGTATGTCTGGCCCAACCCAGCCGTGCATTCCTCCTCCTGCATTCCGGTGCGTGTGTGTTACACCTTCTACTTCTACAGTTTCGTTACCCTCGTTCTCTCAGGTACGCGAGAGGCCTGAGGGGCCACATAGCACTACGGCTAAAGCAACCGAACCCAGATTGCGGTCGACTAGTAGGTGCGGCTGGACCCTTCCTGCAAAGAAGGAGTTACGACCAACAACAAACCCGGCGTGCAAGTCCTCCCCAGGCCCCCTATTTCCCCCCGTTTATAAACCGCGCGCCACCACCGTCACCGCCACTCACCGGGCCGCGCAACAGCTGCATCGTAACGCGCTCACAGGAGTCGAAGACGTGGGGTCCCACCCACGCGCGCAGCTGCTCGCCGGACGCAGTCGCCAGCGCGGAGTCCAGCTCCAGGTCGAGAGCGGAGCTCGCGCCTCCAGAAGCTTCCGGGAAGCCAAACAGCTTGTTGCATAGCTGGGAGGTAGGGCAGCTGTGCATCACTTCCACCAGCACCTCTACACATCCTGCAGTGTGACAGTAACGACAGTAGGACCAGTCCATTATGACCGACCAAACCAGTCAAGGGAGGGGACTGCTACAGATGGCGATATTCGATTCGGGGGAAGGATTAGACACCCCAAGAGCCCTAAGATCATGCGTAAACTTACACAAGGCTGACGAGGATTTGTGCAGAGCAAACAAAAATATAGGGCACCCAAAACTTATTCTGTAAGGTAAGAGATGGGCAGAGTGCAGCCAGCCCCACGAAGTTTAGTGGGGTCTAACAGGGTTGCGACCCACAACAATTCGGGGAGTCCGCACCTCGCGCAAGTCCTTGAAACGTCATACACGATGAAGCTGATGTAAGGACCGACCCTACTCGCTCGCTTGTTAATTTGCCCTGTCATGAACACCTCTTCACAAACCACCCCGCCACCGCAGACAGGACGGTCGCATCCCCACCACCCACGAGGGCGTACCTTCCCGGAGAGTGGCCGGCAGGACCGCAGCTCCCCCGCCGCGCGCCGCCTCCTGCATCCGCTCCACCAACTCCATCGGGAGGCTATCCGGGCGCGCATGGCTTAGCTTCAAGGCCACATGCGACAAGGTCTGCCCGCCGCCGCCGCCGCCGCTGCCCTCAGCGGTAACACGCCCGCCGAACAGCGGCCTGTTTATGTCATACGGCGATGTGTACAGCGCGTGGCCGGGCCGGCATCCATCCCTCAGGCCTTCCTGCTGTTGCTGCTGCTGCTGCTGATGATGATGATGATGATGCCGCTCGTTCCATGACTGGGGCCGGTAGCCCTGCTGCTGTTGCTGCTGCTGCTGATGCTGCGGACGTCGTTCCGTGGCAGGAAACATGCCGCCGTGAGATGGCCCCCTCTCATGTTGCTGCACATGCCGATGCTGCTGTTCCTGATGTCGCTCCCACACTCGCATGCCGGGTCCGCCACCAGGCAGTTCGACCCATTCCTCACCGCTGAAACCTTCCCCGGCTGCGGCGCCCTGCTGTTGCCAGGACCTGGCGTGGACCTGGCTGTCGGATGTGGAGCCCATCCACCTCTCGCCCTCCCCAGCGACCCGGCCACCCTGGCCAAAGGTGAAGCCGTCGCTGCCGTGTGGCGGCGGGGTTGGAGGGCCCCCTTGCATGGCCGCCGGACCGCAATCCGCCCCAGAGGCTGCCGCCGGGTTCGTGTCCGTGTTCACCCAAGCGTCCTGTGCCTGCGCGAATACCACGCTATCCAGGAGCTGCAGACTGCCACGGCCGTCCAGAAGGGCTTCGGATATCGCCAGCGAGTCCATGGATTGTAGCCCTTCGCTTGCCAGCACCTGCTGAAGGCCCTCTGCGCTGCCTGGGCCGCCGTTTATGTTGTCGTTGTACGATGACTCCCGCCTCAAGTTTAGTTGTTCTCCCCCTGCTGCTGCATTATGTGCAGGCTGCTGTGGTTGTTGTTGTGGTGGTGGTGGTTGCCGCTGTTGCTGTTGCTGCATATATGATTGTTGCTGCGTCGCTCGGCCCTCCTCGGCCCTCAGCATGTGCAGCGTGCCGCCGCAGCCGCTGCTGCCGCCGGAACCCGAGTCACCGCCGCGGTCCTGGGGCCCCCTGCCCTGCGGCATGGATGGCGACAGGCCCATTGAATCCGGCTGCTGCTGCTGCTGCTGGTGGGCCCCGCCTGCCGTTTTTACGGCACGGGGCGGATGGGCTGCGAATTTCCGTAACGTGCTGAGGATGAGCTCCTGGTCACTTGGAGCCACGCCGGCAAGGCTGTCGCCAAGCTGCTGCATGTGCTGCTGGGTGCCGTAACCGATGGCTGATGCCGATTGCTGTTGCGGCTGCGCTTCAAGCATCGCCGGTGCTCCGCCACTGTCACCGTTCGAGTACCTCCAACCAGAACTTGCCCCAGCCCAGGAATGCGGCTGCGGCGGCGCAGGGGACGGCGGACGCTGTCCGCCGCCGCCGCCAATTCCACCTAAGGGCGCCGGCCGGCCAACCGCAGCCACCGGGCCCCGGCCTGACGCCCTCGCGCCCGCGGCAATGCCAGCATGCTGGGGCTGGGGCTGAAGGTAGTCCGAGTCCGCGTCCAGATCTTCTGGGACATGCATGCGAAACGCGCTCGGCAGGTAGACAGGCCGCTGCTCATCGCAAAGCTTGCCAAAGACGTTCTGTGGTGGTGCCGACGAACCCAGCTGCACCTGCACGCGAGAAGCTGGCTGCTGCTGCTCCAGCTGCTGCGGGTGCTGCTGCTGCTGCTGCCAACGATCCACATGGGACAAGCTGTTCGCAGGATTCTGCCGGAGGCCATGCTGCTGGCCACGCGGGTGCTGCTCCAGCATATGGGAATGGTGTTGCTGTTGGGAACCTAGGTGTTGCTCTTGCTGCTGCTGCTGCACGACCTCAAGGAAGGCCTCTTGCTTCTGCATGTGTTCAAGCAGCGTGACGCGGTGCTCGCCATCGAAACCCTGCAGCTGCTGGCGCTGATTTTGGTGGTTTGGAAAGCTCACCACGATTTGCACCTGTTGCTGCTGCTTCTGTAGCTCCCGCCGTGCCTCCCACATTTGGGCATCGGCATTGTCGCGGGCGATGCCGTCCCTAAACGATGGCGTGTCCAGAAGCGACGGCGCCTCCTCGATGGGCTGCTGCAGCGCGTCATTGTGCGTACCAATAGCCGCCCGCTCAGCCTCCATCTGCAGACTGGTCACGTCCTCCATCGCCAGCGCAGCTTCCTCATCCGCCGTGTAAACGGAGGACCCGGCCGATATGCGCCGATCGATAAGCACTGCCTGGGGCCCCAGCCCAACGGGTGCGGGATACGCGGCAAGCGGGGCCCCGAATCGCGTCCCGTCCGGGGTGACCCACACGGACCCCTGCGGGGCCGCACCGTTGCCCGCCCACACGGTGGCGGCCTGGCCACCTGGCCTCGAGGTTCCGTAGCCTGGGAGCTCATGCCGCACCAGAGGCTGGTGGTGGTGCCGTTGCTGCTGTAACGGTGCGTCATCCTGCACTTGCGCCCATTGCTTGGGCATGTTTGGACCAGGAACTGCCGATGCCGACACCGACGACGGCGGCTGTGGCTGCGGCGCCGCCGTCGTCGCGTTCGGCGGCGAGGCCAGCAGACCCGCGTCTAGCTTCAGCCTGAGGGCCGCTTGTTGAGCAGGGGTCAAGCCTTCGGCTGCCCCTGCCAGCATGTCAGCGCTACCGCTGCCGCCGCCGTTGTGCAACGTAATCTTTGGAGGTGACATCGGCTCGGGGCCAGCCTGGCTGGTTCGTGGCAGCTGCTGCCGGAACTCTGGCTCCGTGCGAAGGATCTGGGCCAATAACGTCACAGCTGGCGCCCCCTCTCCATCGACTTTGTACGTAATTAACTGGTCGGCCACCCTACTTGGTAGACCGACGCGGCCATCACGTGCACAACCCGGGTCGCCCAGGGTGTTCGGTGCCGGATAACCAGCGCCGTTTGCTGCGTGGGGTGTCCGCACGTGGACTTGGTAACCTCCATTGTTCGTGGGGCCACCGACGGCCGCGAGCCTCATGCCGCCGTCGTGCATGGACTTGTCAGGCAACGCATGGCTGTCCTGCGTGCCAGAAGCAGGCACAATGATTGCCGGCACCGACTGCCACGTAGCCCGCGCATCTCCCCCCGGAGCCCATTTTGGTGACGACGCTGGTAGCTCCTGCTAAAGGACAGAAGTAGAGGTTTCTTAATGCACCGCTGCATAAGTTAGTCCTTTTCCTTTGCCAGAGGTTGCCTCAAATGACGCGGGGCGTTGATTATAATGCTTTGTTGTGCACCTACTATGCCACCAGCGACCGAAAAAAACGCAAATATAAAAAATATGGCGGAAGGAACCAAACAAGCGAAGGAAAACGAAAGGTCGCTCATGCGCGACAGACAGAAGAAGCTCACTGCATAGTATCCCCAAAACCAAAACCAGTCTCACTTGTGGCAGGTTAGGTGCGCTGCCGCCGTGCAGCCGCCACGTCCCCTGCACTGCTCCCTGTGGCAGCCGCTCCAGCGCGATGACGCCACCCGTCTCCATTTCCCACTCACTCATAGGCAGACGTTGTTGATGCTGTTGGTGCTGTTGGTGCTGGTGCTGCTGTTGGTGCTGCGACAGCGGAGGCACCAACTGTAGCGGCTGCACCTTCACAGTTTGAGCGCGCACTTGCACTTGCACTTGCGGGCCCTGCTGCCCCAGGTGGCCATGCAGCTGGCCGCGCGGGGAGTACATGGCCCCGTCACGAACTGCGCCATAGGCCACCTGCAGCTGTTCCTGGTCACGCAGGTCCTGATGGTTGACACGCGGCCAGTCCGGAGCTAGGCCGACCGGATCCCAAGGCCGGCCACGCTTGGCGGTTGCGGTTGCAGTTGCGGCTGCAGGACCAAAGCCCGTGTCACGACCGTCAGCCGCCGCCAGCGTGGCGCCAAGAGCGCCGCCGAGCCCCATCTCCGCCTCCCTCGTCATCATATCCGCCGCGCCCCAATCTGCATCTTCGTGGTGCCCGCCTCCAGCGTCCCCAGGACCGGGTGTCTGCATGTCCGGCTCCTCGTCCGCAGATTCCGGTGACCACACCTCCGCTCTGGCAGCCCCCAACTGCCCGGTAGTCGCGCGCTGCACCTTGACCGCCTTTGTAACGTCTGGTGCGGCAACGCTTCGCGCAGAGGGCTGCAGCCGCCGTGCGCCCTGCGCCAAGGTACCGCTTTGCCGCTTCCGTGCCAAACTGTGCCCACCCTGCGCTCGAACCGCAGGACCTGCGTCGTCACCGCCGGCGGCGGCGGCTGGACCGCCGCCGTTGGCTGGCTGGTCGTCCGAGTCAACATCGTCGGACCGGCCGCCACCGCCGTTATTATTGCCGGATGCGGCCGCAGCTGCCCCAGCCAAAGCTGCAGCCGTTATAGCGCCCGCATGGTTTGCATTCTGCTGCTTGCGAGCGCGGCGCTTCATCCGGTTTTGCTCCAACTTATCACGACACGTCCTGCAAAAACGTACAGCAGGCATTTCACCACGACTTGCAAGCGTGTCGCGAACCCCCCTCGTACCTAACATACAAAAACGGAGGCTAAGCTTCGCCCGGCCAGTGAAGAGGCTTTGGTGTGCATCATGGTCCTATCAGGAACCTCCAGACTCGGAGGCTGTTCACGCAGCGGTCGGTTAAAGGGATCATCCAGAAGCACGCAAGAGCATAGGGTCCTTATGTCCAAATATAGCCTCTAGTGTGTTGTTTATAGCATGGCCTGCTCCTCGCAGCATATAGTCAGACGATTCCCGGTCCTGTCCCGATAGCTAAATCGCATGTACGACCAGCTGCCCCGACCCCAAAAGGTCCTAATCCCCCAAAAGCACACTATTATGTGTGTAAGTACATATGTGTGTGTATGTGTGTGTGTTGCATGGCGCGTGCGACTGGCAGGTTTGTGGTCCCAGAGATGCAAGGGCCACGCGGTACTACTAGCGGTCTGTTTACTTGAGCCGAGCAGCTACACGCTCATCTCCCCCCATCTGTGCAACTTGCTCCCCCCAACTGCAACTCCCCCCATCTGTGCAACGCTCATCTCCCCCCATCTGTGCAACTTGCAACACACACACACACACACACCTGCGCACTCCATCAAAAAAAGCCAAGGGATGAAACGTGCTGCACTGGTCACAGAACCGGACTTCGCGTCCGCCGATATGGACGACCTGCAAAAGGAGAAACGCAAGCGTGTATGTGTGTGACACGTGTTTTGCGGAGGAATCATTCCGCGACACCTGTGGCCTCCTTCGCGCGTGCGGCCTCCTTCGGCGCTTTCACAACAACATTCGTGCATAAACTAAGACCTGGCGATGCAACCGATAGGGGGGATTGGCCTATAGGGGTAATGTCGCGGTAATATCGCTGACCCAGATCGCAGGTGCCATCATTGCCATCACCTAATACCCCCCCGAGTTTATGTCGCTCTTGGTGTCGCACGTTCGTTATTGGTGGCCGTTTTTCAATCAACCTGGACCTGGGCCTCGTCGGTGACATCACCAAGTCCAGAACTGGGAAGGTGCCGTGTTATTAAGGCATTGAGTTTTACATAGTCTAAGATCCAGAGCACCCACGAAACTGCAACAACGTTCCCAGAGACGGCACACAAAACGCATGAGCATCATGAAATGGGAGCCAGTACGTCTGGCGAGGATGTTGGAACGTATGTGGGCTCACCGCAACTCAGTTATTCCCGTTGGGCGCTAGTCTGGACTGATAGTGCGGTGTTTCCTGTTCTCCGTGGCTTTCAGGCGTATAGATGTTGCCCTTGGGCCTTCGGCCCATATGGGTAGTTTTACAGGTATGGGGTCACGCACCCACAACCATGTAACACACACACACATGAGCATCATGGGTAATCCGACGGGACGCGAGGAAAATACCGTTGATGTGCAATTGTTGGCGTGTTTGGATGGAGCCAACGCGTGCTCGACCATATCGACCACACTACCGCTAAAACCATACACGCTTATCTTCACGCCGACGCGCGATGTCGGTACCCGCAGCGTGCGACCCAGACGCAGCTAGTACCCGTACAGCCTTTGACAGATCTGTCTGCGGCATAAGACCCAGGTGGCAGAGAGACAGCCTGGGGGGCCTGGCCGGTATCCCTCGGGCTGGGGACCGCACCTGAGATCGAATGTGTGTCTCACACACGTGGTAGCGCCGGAAATAGCGCCGCAACCCGGACAAGTCAGCCATGCAGCCGTCCGCCTGCAGGCAGCCAAGAGTAAAGGATTAGGGACATTAAGCGTAAAGGCTGCTGTAACCAGCAGGAAGGTCTCCGCGGTGCAGTACCAACAAGGTCGTCGTCGCTACGGGGAAACAAACGGGCCAGAAAGAAAGTAGACAAGGCTACTTGCGCGGTGCAAACCTAGTTGGCACCAGTTATGAGAGTGCCATATGGCATACTCGCCAAAACATTGTGGTCGGGGTCGCAGCGGTCCTGGCCCTCTCTGCTGCCTTGCTGTCCCGTGGGCCCCTAGACAAATTCTTAAATAATGCGCACTCAATAAAGTAATGTTACTAAATTACATTTATGAAATAACCTCTTGCCAGCGCGGTCGACGGGCACCCCTATCAGGATACCGTCTTTGCTTTGACGCACCTGGCACCGGTTGGCCCCTGTATCCTGAACAACAGGCGTAGCAGATGCCATGACGGACGGTCTGAGATCGCCCTCTTGAATGGACTGGTTATGACGCTGCTGTTGGGCTTGAAAGCTGCTCGACCGATGCTCGTCTGAGGGCTGCTCCGCACCCGGCTGCTCCGAAGATGGAAGTGTTCGCATAGGGTTGTCGTTATCCATCCAAGCTAGCACCTCTTCAGATACGGAGGCAAATTCTTAGGCTGCGGCAAGTTCGCAGCCGCTAGCCATAGCCCGGTTCATTTATCCTCGCGAGTACAAAAGCGTAAGACGATTATCAATAGGGGGTTACGAAACGCTCCATCATATAGGCCAGCGGTACTCCTAGCAGTCAGAGTTAGCCTCTGTAAAACTGGGGCCTGTTGCAGTTCACGACCAGAATCTATAGAGTAAATATATCAATAAAGATACCGATGCAGCGAGGATGGAGTTCCGCTAAGCTGGGCCTCTTGCTTAGCCGCGCAGCGTCAAACGGCCCTCGCGGCCGAGAGCTCGCAAGGAAAGCTCACAGACAGGGCTGTACTGATTGGATTTTCCTTCCAGCATACTAGGCTGAAGGCCTAGCAAAGTATTCAGAACACCCAAGCGCCTCCTAAAAGAAATCCTTTCCGGATTTGGGCTCAGCAATGAACATTAAGTAGCATGAAAGTACATTTCATTGCACGCTACACATGATGGCGCTTTCCTGCCCGAGCGTTAGGGCGTTCATGCCGTAATCCGCATCAGTGTGCATGCGCCAGCTCGGCAACAAGACCTTTGTGAATGACTAGGTAACATAGTTTCATTATTATACATATCGCATAACTGCTAACTTTTTTGATGAAGCATGCCGTAAGCTTCAATGTTGTGGACACGTTATTGTGTGAGGAGGTGGCTTGGATTTTCTCACTTATAGTTCTCTCATCCCTTTGATTAAACGCGGGGATGCTTGTTTTCTTCCGCCTGCCACCACGGGCCGACAGGCGCCCGGTTGTTAAGATGTTTCTGAGCTCTTGCCAGTTATTGATTGAAATGGTGCTTAATTCATTACAATATGATGTGCTTGTAATGATATTTGGCGCAAATTCATGCTCCGACCCGTGAACCGCGATGCACGGGCAGGCTCACAGCTGGGGAAGCTATGCACAAAACCACCAAGCTACTAACACAAAGGAGTTCGGCACTGTGTAGTTAGAGATACAGCACGGAGGTTGATTTTCAAACCATGCGCGGCAGTATATTTGTATAGGTCAGGTTCTTTGCAGAAAATTTGAGTGGAGCGCCCCGTCCCAAAGTGGCAAAGCTGGCCTTACGGGAAGTCCATGCCATTGAAATAAAATTTTTAGGAAAAGCATGACAAGTGCCTTTGTCAGAATCCATAAATACGCTTTGGGTCACCGTGCTTAGCGACGCCCGCCGTCAGCCCGTCGTGGCCATTACGTGCATGGGGGTCCCACCCCCCGTCCCTGGAGTCCCTGCATTGAAGAGAATAACCAGTTGCTGTGTTGGCATGCAAACCCACACTTACATTCGCATGCACCCTTTCTTACCCACATTTTCTTCATTTAAACAGAGCCATCACGTCGAGCCAAGCTCCCACATATCCAATGGGCCGAGCCCACCTTCGGCACGCTGCAGCCAGCGCCTTCTATAGCCGTTATCACAAGCAGATGACCAATCGATAAATGTCGCTCAGCACGCATGGCATGCCAGCGTTGCAATCCGTTTATCCACACACTCTTCATATGTCTGGAGCCCACTGTAACACACACACACACACACACACACACACACACACACACACACACACACACACACACATACACATACACATACACATACACATACACATACACATACACATACACATACACATACACATACACACATATATATATACAAATATAAACACAGAGCAAATCTTTCCGTTTTCAGCCACACCGCGTCAGACAGCCAGTCTTTCCCACAGTAAGAGACGCTTATCGTCCGGTCAGCTGGCACGTTTTGTCGTCATTTTCGCTTCCAGAGCATTGGTTTCTCTCAAGGAAACCGAACATTAACGGCGAAGCTTAATCACTGCCACCGCAATTATCTCGCGCCTTGCCCACTGCTAGGATTGGCTTGCATAACGGCCTCGTACCGCTGTCGCGATGCCACGACCCTCGACTTATTGTTCCTTAAAGCAAGCTCACACAGCTCACGCCGTTGGACCATTGGGTATTTAAATATAATACGGCGTGAGCTATGTGAGCTTGCTTGGTGGTGTATATATATAATATATACACCACCATATGTACGATGCCGTATATTACTCTCCTCGCCAAAGGTAAATGTCTTCCGCACCCTCACCAAACACCAAAGCCATGGGGCCCAGTACGCCCGCTGCCATCGCTTGGGTGTGCCCCGCCGACCGGTCAATGCTCGTAATAAAAGGCCCCTCGGCCTGCCGCATTACTCGAGAGCACGTGTCGTTTTCGGTTTCTTCAGCATTTACGAAAGCGACTGGGGTCCTGGGATTCGTGGCAGGCGCTTGACCATGCCCCGTTAATCCCTGCAAAGGGGAGGCAGTAGACCCGATAGCCTCGTAAATCCTCTGATACCAAATCTCCTCGCTCGAAGCAAAAGATGTCGTCCTTTCCGGCGCCACCGGAAGGCTCGTGCCCCTTCCACTCTTTGGAGTTTCACGAAAGCTATCGGGCATTTCGCACTTGGGTAAGCGAGCTGGTCTTGTCCCCTCCTGAGCCCTTTCCATTGTGCATTGGAGGCGTCGGACGATTAGATTGGAGGCGGCAGTCCCTTCCACTCGCCGGCAGCACCTGCTCTCGGCGTCCTCTCCGTAGTACCTGCATGCAGTAAGGTCTCTCGCGGCGGCCGCCGAAGGTTGTGCTGCCCAACCTGCATGGTTCGTTCTAAAGGCGGAGCTGCAGCCCTTCCTTGAATTCGCTGCTGCCGCCGGCGCCGGCGCCGGCGCCGGCGCTGGCGGTGCAGTGGAGACAGCTCCGAGCCGTCGCGGTTGCGAGGAGGGCGCCGCTGCCGTGGTTTGCCGGCCAGAGTCCTCCTCGCTGTGGCCCTTCAGCAGCCCGTCTGGCTTGCTACGGCTGATTTGGGTCTGCCCTAACCCGCTCTTCTTTAGGCGCCTTAAGCGGTTTTTCTCAAGCTTATCGCGGCACGTCCTGCAGGAGGAAAAACAAGCGAAAAAAAGGCGCGGTGTGTGCAGGGTTTGAGTTGGTGAGTTCAGATGCGAAACACGCAAACATGGAGAAAGAAGGTTGATGGGGTCGGGGTCAAGGGAGGGGTTCACTCAGGACTGGGAAAGCAAGACGCACACTGCTTGATCGCCAGGCATAGAGTTTTGTCACCACAACCACCCCGCACGTCTACAGCATGTCGCCTCAATTGATGTTACAAAGTATAAAAATAAATTGCAATAATTCCTCAGATGCGAGGGGAGTATACAGCGCTTTGCGGACCCTTGCACATCATCGCACCGCATGCAAAATAGCTCACCAGCTTGGGGCCTACTAGCATGCATAGTGCATAGTAAGGCATGCCATTTTTATTATTATTACTAAAGCGTCATCGCCAAGGCTGACATTTAATACGTTGCCAGAGGGCGCAGCCTACGCACGAAATGTACGACCACCCTCTGTCACGCTTGACGTTTACCTGCGCATTCCGTCGAAATTGGAGAGGGAATGGAACGTGCTACACTGGTCGCAGAACCGGACCTGGCGACTATTGATCAGTATGACCTGCCGTACAGGGAAGTAACGGAGAGGAGAGAAACTTAAACGCGAATGGGCTGCCCCCCGTAGGGTCATTTCCAAGCAGGCTGTGCCCATTCACGAGCACTTGAAGGACTCACAAGAGTGATAGAAGAGATTGGCCCGAATGGGCGCCAACGCGTGCTCGACCATATCGACCACACTACCGCTAAAACCATACACGCTTATCTTCACGCCGACGCGCGATGTCGGTACCCGCAGCGTGCGACCCAGACGCAGCTAGTACCCGTACAGCCTTTGACAGATCTGTCTGCGGCATAAGACCCAGGTGGCAGAGAGACAGCCTGGGGGGCCTGGCCGGTATCCCTCGGGCTGGGGACCGCACCTGAGATCGAATGTGTGTCTCACACACGTGGTAGCGCCGGAAATAGCGCCGCAACCCGGACAAGTCAGCCATGCAGCCGTCCGCCTGCAGGCGAGGAAGGAAGATTGGGAGAAAGACGTCGATGGGTATGCGACTGTGGTCGAATTCGTGTGGATGTCGGGACAATGGGGCGAAGAATGGTGAGGCGCAGGGGAGTTAATTTGAACTACTGGTGTTTTAAGCAGACTGCTGAAAGAAGGATATAGCCGCACAGTGATAATCATTTAGATTCGAGGATGCAGGCGGCTAATTTTTTTTATACCGGATAACGCGTCTTCTCCTTCTATCTGGCTTTTTCTCTTGGCGCTCGTGTCCAGATTGTAGAAATTTCAAGAACCGCTCCTTCAAACATCCCTGCATCTGTTTTACATGCAAGCATGTCCATGCAAATGCACACGTGTGTGTGTTGTGGCTATCATTTTTGTTTTAGAAATTTCGGGAATAGAATTGCAGGACGCCTGAGCCCCGTCCTGTGCTAGCCCGTTCTGCGAGCCTGCGGACCCGCGGCGTATCTAACGCGCACCTGGCAGAGCGGGCCTTTTCTGCGTTGCCTTGACATCTCCACCACAGCTGTAGTTAAGGTATTCAATGTATCTTTTCCACTTGTGGAGCTTCGTTGCTCCTTCCATTGTAACATCACCGCGCCGCTCGTTGCTTGCATACCGGTATCTCTCAACTCAAAAGGCTGTTCGAAAGAGTGCATTTTCTGCGAGTAAGAGCTACCATTATTTTATATCAACTGTTTAAAAAAAAGTAATTCTTGCAACATAGATCTCTGCTCGTTTGCTCGAACATCGCTCGGCCAACCGAGCTTACCTTATCATTAATGTTCCAATTGTCCTCCAAGTGATGCGGTTAATGCTGCTTCATTCCGTGAAGCCGCTCATCATAAACTAAAAACTCTTCAGCAGTGAAGCACTATATCAGTGAGCCGTTATGATATGCAAGGTTCCGAGCCCTGGTGGGGACGCAAAACTTCCTCCTTTTGAGCCAGGGTCAAGGACTCCTAAAAGTTCAAATAATTTATGTTATTTTTAAATACTTTATAAAGGCTTCCGACAGTACGTTCGTACGCATTTCTTCGGGGCCCGTTCCGCCGGCCCGTTACAAGCAACCGCAACGCACGGGCGTTGTCTTGACTTGGAATCCTACGTGCCTGATGCCAAAAATTTAACTCACAACATGGGAAGCAAGCAACTGGCGCAGCGTTTGCGCACAAGTCGGATTAATGACAACTCAACTACCGACCGTTCCCTGTGGTGCAAACCATCAAGCACTTCGTTGGTTGGAAATCGTGACTACCAGCACAGCGTCAACGTACATAATCGTACTCTTTTCTTTTCCGCGGCCGCTCGCGAGCTTTTCCAACCGCTGCGCGGATCGTCTCAAGGGCCTTACACGCTTCGTCCGCCGGCCCGCGGATAGGCCCGTCGCGTCGTCCGCTTCCGCGAACCTCCGAATTCTCCTTTCTTCAGGTTCCTTCAGATCCCTTCATACCCTGAGATATAACAAAGTATCCTAAACAATTATTGTGGCTCACTAACTGCCCTGCACCTGTAAAATGTTGTACAAGGAAGCATTGGACCAGCTGCAGCGAGCCCTAAAACAATCAACGGTCGAAACCTTTGGTTTACATGTACGAGGAAACGTTCCGCCGAGGGGTACATTAATAAGACACGTCATTTTTATTTTGGCAGTAGCCCGTGACTTCGCGCGAGAGATTGCAACGGGACTGTGTAATTGCATCTAATTGCACAATGTTTTCCCCTACCTGCTTCCGGACAGAATAGGTAGCAAACCCAAAGCGCCTTCGGTCGTAAGGAAAAAAATAATTTTAATATATATACCTAAAGTCCATCGCTCCCGGGCTGTGACAGACGTCCCCGCATTCGTGCGGAACTTGTAGACGTATTCGCAGTATGTGCGGCTGTTAGATCACGACTGCATCCCTCCCATCATACATTTCCCCCTCCATACAAATGCTGGAAAGAGCGTGCGTGCGCGCGCGCACAGCGACACACCACATAAACCACCTTGTATTAAAACACACAGACTTCCGCCCCGCGCACAGACCTCATTCTAATGCCGTTGAAGTGAAAGAATTGAACGGCCGTTGAGGCTCCTGCTTCCTAAGCATCACTACACAGCTACAATCTGAAATGCTGTATCAGTCAGCTGCGCCACATTTTCATATTGCACCATCCAGATCGCAGCTTAGGGTAAACAACGCCGCGTTCCCCTTTAGTCAGAGACTCCTGTCAGGCCCGTGGCTGATCCGAGAGTCACACCCGGCGTTGCATGTGGAACAAACAAACCATAAGACAAACAAACCGCCATTATTAGGGCCAAACAACAGGCCACGCCTGAGTACATATCAAAATTCCATTAAGCTCAACTTAATTTCATAAATGATAAATGATCTACGACACAGTGGCGGGCCATGGGATGGAATTTTAGCCTCCGTTGCCCTCCACTGTCCTGTAAATCAAGTGCGAACAAAAGCATTACTGCGATTGCGGCACAAACAAACAGACGTACGCACACACACACACACACTCTCTCTCTCGCTCTCTCACACAAACACGCGCGCCCTCGCCCATGCGCACATCTTCCGAACAACACCTACTAACTTCCGCTATTGCTGCTGCTGCTGCTCCGGCGACACCCTTTATCCTTTCCTTTGTTCACCGCGCCGCTTATTTCTACGGGCACATGACTTCACCTTTCGCATCTAACATCTACTTGGAAATATTTCAAGCTACGTCTACAGTTTGGAACATTCATTTGGAACATCCAAACACGTCTAACCGCCACCCATACCCAAGCACCCACATAGCCAATTCAGTACTCCGCCAAGTTCAGGGCACTTAGCACATCCTCTAGTTTCTCCAAGTACTGGGTGTGACCCCCAATGAGCGCCGATAAATTAACATTCTCCACACCCGCGGCCACCACGGGACCCAAACCCGCCACACCCCCCACACCTCCCGTCCCCGTCCCCATCGCCACCCCAGCTGCTGCTCCACCGCCGCTGCCGCTGCCGCCGCAACAGGCGCCGCCTTCGGCGCCGGCTGTGCCGCCACGCTGCTGCATCCCCCCCCGCCCCCTCCCCAACAGAGCGTTTTTCGAGTGCGCCCTAAAGACCACCCCAAGGACCCAATCATTGGTGGAGAAGGCATTCACCAAGCGACCCGCCACGGCCGCTCGCGCCTGTGTCCATCGCGCCTCGTTGGCCGAGACGGGGGTGCCCAGCAGCACCGCGGACTCCACGAGGCCGCGGGCGCCGCACCGATTGAGCTCCAGAAGGCAGTGGAAGATGAGACGGGCGCCTATGGAGAAGCCAATCTGACGTGCGTTTGAAAGAACGGGATGAATGGAACGAACGGGAGTATGAAGGGTTGGCGGGGTATGAACGGTGGAGGGTTGGAGGCAAGCACGGTACGGATGGGTGACTAGAGGGAGGTACGGATGGGTGACTAGAGGGAGGTACGGATGGGTGACTAGAGGGAGGTACGGAATGGGTGACTAGAGGGAGGGTACGGATGGGTGAATGGAGGGAGGTACGGATGGGTGACTAGAGGGAGGTACGGATGGGTGAATGGAGGGAGGTACGGATGGGTGAATGGAGGGAGGTATGGGCGTGAAGCCCCGTGGACAAAACCATGACTGGGACAGAAAGGGGTCCTATGACGGTGCCTCAGCGGCGCCGTACAACCGACGGCACCTGGTGAATCCGACGTATGGTGAGTTAGGCTGCCCATTCACTGCTCACCAGCATCACGGGGCGGTCTCCGTGCGCTCCCTGCATCAGCATGTGCGCAAGGATGCGACCCCCTAATTGGGCCCTACGGAGGGCCACACGCCACCGACTGAGGGAGGGAGGGGACGCAATAGGGGCCCGGGACAACAAGATAAAAAAGCAGAGGTAAGGGTGAATTGAACAGCTGACTCTTAGAAAAAGCAACAATACCCATACCATTTCACAGGTATATGCAACTACTTCGCTTTGCTAGTCATTTCCCTCCCAGATACTTCCTCCATTTTCCCTGCCTCTTTCCTTCTCTCCTGCCTCTTTCCTTCTCTCCTCCCTCTTTCCTTCTCCCCTCCCTCTTTCCTTCTCCCCTCCCTCTTTCCTTCTCCCCTCCCTCTTTCCTTCTCTCCTCCCCCCCTCCCTCCCCTCCCTCTTTCCTTCTCCTCTCCCTCTTTCCCTCCCCCCCCTCCCTGCACGCTGCATGGGCCAACCCACCTGCCAATGGTCATATTGATGGCGCTCATAACCGCCATCGGCAACATCATGGCAGTGACAAGCGCTGGAGGGGAGAGGGCGGTTGGAAGGTTGCCGGTTGGCAGCGACGATTGGATGCATGACACGGCAGCCGACACACACAAATACACACATACAGACATGCACACGCAGAACCACATATTTATATACATACACCCCTACACCCCTACCCTTACCCGTCGACACGCTGAGCCTCAGCACCATCTTGGAGCTCTCCTCAATGGCCTTGTCCCGAATGAACCTCCGGAGGGCGCCCCCCAGGGCGCTCAGCACTTCTCGCTCCCAGACCAGAGCCCACAGCTCCCGACCGCTGGAGGGCAGCCGCCGCCACGGAGCTATGAAGTCATCAGCCTCCTTCACCCAACTGTGGGGAGAAATAAGGGGGGAAGGGTGTGAGGGGGGAGGTGGGGACCGATGTTAGGGTGTATGTGTATATGTGTATGTGTGTGCTTTTCCGTAATCCCAATCCCAGCCGCCATAACCATCTCACCCGTTGACCGCAATGGTCAACGCCAGAGTGGCGTCGCCGCTACGTCGTGGGTCGACCGGCACTGGTAGCAACGGCCTCAGTTGCTCCCCGCTCTTGGCGCTTCCCCCCTTCACTCCCTTTCCCACAGCCGTGGCCGCGGCGGTATCGTCGCCGGCAGCGACCCCAGTCTGCTTGTTATTGTTTTTGCTTCGAAACCAGCTCCACCGCGACGAGCTCGCGCCGGTGCTGCCAGTGTTCGCCAGCGGCGTCGGCGGCGGATGCGGTGCCGTCCGTGTACCGCCGCCGACGCCGTCGAGGTCCGCCGCCTCCGCGTCTAGCTCCGCCACCAGGGCGTCCACATACGGGGCACCTCGGACTGCGCTGCAGCTGCTACTGCTACCGTTTCCCACCTTCAAGTGCTCCGCAGCAGTAGCAGTCGGGTCAGTCGCCGCCAGCTCTGAGACCCATGGGTTATCATCGTCCTCGGCGCTGCCGTCGCCGCCGCCGCCGGATGTGCCGCCGTCGCCATCGCTGCCGTCGCTGGCGGTGGACCGATCAGCCTCCGCCAGGGCGTTGGCCTCGACAGCAGTGGCAGATGCCGTACCACTGCCGTTGCCTCCTCGGCTCGACGCGACTGCAGTTATACAGGCCGGACTCATTTCGCCGTCGTCAGCAAGATTGCCGTTGCCGCCGCTACAGCTTTCCCCTAGGGCAGGCATTGCTTCTGCTGCCGCCAGCGCTGTTCCGCTGTGCCGGTCCGCCGCGGCCGCCGCCGCTGGCTGGTCGTATTCTGACGACGGGGCGTACGACGCCACTGGGTCGTGGCGGAACAAGGCCGTAGGGTGGCTTAAATCCAGGTCCCCGCCGCTGCCGCCGCCGCCACCGCCATCGCCGCCGCCAGAGATCCCTCCCAGCAAATCCACGGGTATGAAGAGCCCGTCGTGAGGTACGGCAGAGGCATTCTTGCTGGGACCAGGCGGCCCCACTGTCGCCGTTGCATCACCCGGGGGCGCCCCGCCTATGGCGCCATAGTTCTCGACGGCTGCCGGAGCAGGTCCTCGTACCGCACCCTTGTACCGCGGCGGCGCCGCCGCCTCGCTCCGTTGACCCTGCTCCAGCTCCACACGGTTCCCCTGCTCCGGTAGCTTGTCTGGTGGTGACGGGGAAGAACCAGCAGCAGCGGCGACGGCGGAGGCGGCGGAGGCGGAGGCGCTACCTGCTCCGAAACCGGGGTCTGTCTCCATTTCGGTGTTGCTCCTAGGGCTCCGGCGGAAGAGGCCGCCCCAACCGCCAGACGTCGGCCCCGACGGATCATCTGCTTCGCCGTACTCTGGATCGTCCTCCGCCGATGGCCGTGGCGGTAGTGCCGAGGATGACGAGATGCTCCAAAACCCAAACTCGCGCACCTCGCCTGCGTGTGCCGATGGCCGCCATACACGTGGGTGAAGTCATCACATGCAAGGCAATTTTAGAAATGAACTGCCGGAAGGCGTCCAAAGTCCGAAAAATTGGGAAGGGGGGAGGAAAGTGCCCGCCGGCCACAGATTTTTGGACAAGTTGCCGAAGACACAAGTTGGTCAAGTACACTAATTTCAATATGATGTGCCCGCGACATTAAAAAGGGCGGAGACAGATAGGTCGAGATTATGCGCACGCAAGGCAAAATGAACCAAGTGCATGACGCAACGTGCAAAATTCAAAATTGCAAAACGTACGGGAGTCGTACCATACAGCGCCGCGGTTTTTGAGCCTGCGTGTGAAGCGCCAATGACGCCAAAGGTGCCCGTGATGGCGGCGGTGCCCGCCGCGGTACCGCCCAGGCTGGTGATGGCGGTGGCGGTGGCGGCGGCTGTACTGCCCCCAAGTACGGCAACGGCGCTGCCAAGGCCGGCGGCGATAGCGGGCGCCGCCAAGCCACCTGAACGGGATGATGGGGTTTGAGGGTCCAGATAGTGGATGATGTGTGCATGTGTGTACATGTGCATGTGTGTGTGTTTTACACATTAGATTGAATCATCCTTCAAAGGCGTGATGAAGGGGAGCAACGGTGGGACATATACGGGAATAGAGTGGTGGTAGTGGTGTGGTGGTAATAGTGTTGCGTGTGTTGCGTGTGTGTGTGTGTGGGGGGGGGGAGACGAATCCACAGGCGAATGCAGCAGATACCAGCGGTAGGGTGGCACGAGGAGAGGACTCAAGGGGGCCAGGGGGGCTCCGTGAGGACGCATGCATGAACCTCGGCAAAGATGTGAGACCGCTCTTCAAGATCATAAAAAAGGAGGGGACCTCAACCCCGCAGAGGAGGGACCCCAAAATCAACATCAAAATGACAGAAGCAACCACCCCATCCCACCAGATAAGTGGTTACCCACCAAACCATACACAACCCACTTCCCGCTTCCTCCTCGCGGCACGCAGATCAGTGAAACTCTAAGTCCTAAAACCCCCCAAGTCCACCTGTCAACGCCAGCAACGCCGCACCGCCCAGCGCCCCCGCGGAGATTTTCAAATACGTCGCATAGCGGCCGCTACCGCCGCCAGAAGCGCCACCGCTAGACCCGCCAGCGCCGCCGTTGACGCCAAAGTCAAAGCCGCCGCCATCGGATCGCAGCTGTAGCAACTGTAACGCCCACATTTGCTCCATGGCATGCATTTTGGACGCGGGGATGCGGAGCCAGTGACACAGCCGCCGCAGCGCGACACGTGCACGGGCATCGTACCTGCGGCGTGCCGTAATCGGTACGGCCGTACGGCAGGCACCCGTACGGAGCCATTATTAGCCCTTTGCAATGCACAGGACTACATTACTGCAGTTGTACAGGACACGCCACAGGGAACCAGCCAACATTTCCACCACCATTATTGCTTATTGTTAATCATTGATCATCATTATGGTCGTGGTATTGTTATGTGTGTCCAGAAGCCTCTGACTCATTACACCTCTCTGGGTATCGCAACTGAGGTGTAACACACATACACACATACGCACGTACGCACACACACACACATAACCCAACATACGCACATTATCCCGAGGTCCCCGGGGGAGACACACGCATCAGTGCGACCATGTGAGACTCAGGGTCTCAAAACACAGAGACGACGTGAAGAACGCAGCAGCAGAGTCACGGACACGAAAGCATATAGCCACTACCTAGCTAGTGGTCGGGCCCACTGCGCCAGTGGCTTAGCCAGTCTGCCAGCCAGCCAGCCAACCGGCAGACTTACCAACGAATGAGAGGCCTCCTCACGACGCGAATGGGTTCCTCCACTGCCTTGCGGCCGCCATTGGAAGCTTCGCAGCTCCTACCACCACTGCTACCGCCGCCGCCGCTGCCCAGCAGCCTACCGCCAAAGAAACTAAAGGCGCCGCTCTTTCCCGTCTTGGCCACGCCGTCGGTCCCTCCACCTCCACCTCCGCTTCCGCTTCCGCCATCGGGTCGGGATGCTGCATAACCAGGCGTCGCCGCCACGGACTGTTCGTGATCACCAGCACGCGCTGCCGTACTGACTGCGTCGTCGTCGTCGCCAGCGGCAGCGGATGCACGCAGGCACGCGCCAATTAGTTCGTACAGCGCAAGTACGGACTGATGACTAGGATCGTGACGGAGGCATGACGACGCGAGGGGTACGGTTGGGGGAATGGCGGCAGCCGAGCACTGCGGGCCGTCGTCGGCGCCGCCACCGCTGCCTCCGTCGTCCTGCGGATTATCCAAGCAAGCCGTCGGCGGCGATGGTGCCGTCGTCTCCACCAACGTCGCCGCCGCCGCCGCCGTCTCCGCCTCCACCTCAGGCCCCGCGGAAGCAGCCCTTCCGCCCGCGGTGCTGACAGCGTTGCCACCCGGCAGCGCTCCCCGTGATGCCGCCGCCGCCGCCCCCGCCGTCGGCGACGACGACGGCGGCGGTAACGACAACGCTGCATTGTCCATGCCCTGCTCGGCTTGGAGCCCAGTTTCCCCGTGGGCCCCAGCGCCGACATCCTCCCGACAATCGCGCACCTCACCCTCCTCACTACCACCGGCCTCACTCTCCTCACGAACCTCCCCCTTCGCCGCTGCCGCCGCCGCAGCAGCAGCAAGCAGCAAGTCCCCATCCTGGGACGCGACATGGCTGACAATGCCATCCTTCCCAGCCACATCTTCGTCCCCGTCCGCCCTTGCTTTGGGATCGGGAAAAGCCAAGTGTGCCGCCGCCGCCGCTCCGCCGCCGCCGCCATTACCGTTGCTGCCATCGTCGTCGTCGGCGGCCGCTATCAGCGTCAAGGGGCTCAATGGCTGAGCTGGCGATGTTTGCACTGACAGCTGCTCGTTTGACATACGGAGACCCACATCAAGGTGTTCACGGTGTTGCTGTTGTGGTGGTGGTGGTTGCAGCTCCTCTTGTTGCTGCTGCTGTAGGCTTGACGCCGTGTTGTCTGTGCCATCCGCCAACTCCTCTTGGGACTTGGTCTGTACGGCAGCAGCTTTGTGAGCGTCGTCGCCGCATCCGCCGGCCACCACGGCCGTCGTAATTATGGCGGCGGCGGTTGCACCGCTGCCACCGCCCTCACCCGCCTTCCCCTCGTCCACGGCACAGGCATCGCTAATGACAGGTGCCACGGCTGGGTCCAGCAGTGCGCCGTACCTACGGTACACGCACGGCACAATTACAACAGGTCAAACTACGGCTGCCGTACCAAGTAACGCACGCTGTCATGTGCCGTACCTCCGTATGAGCCTCACGAGAGCCACCTGGGCGTCGTGCGTGTTTGCGGCACTGGACACGTCGGACATTTTGAGCAGACCTTTGTGCAGGAGCGAGGGCGAAGGGGTGGTAAAAGGTAAAAGTAAAAGGTAAAAGGGGAAAGACGGCCAAGGAAAGGGAATAAACACACCTAGGCGTGACCTGAAAGCGAATGTGAACGTCTAGTAACGACAAGAAAACTAAAGAAACACGCGCATGAACGTGAGGCAGCTTTAGCTTCTTTGACGGTAGTGCATGAGCGTGAAGTCGCTTTGGAAATGCCCAGAAGGTAAGGCTGAAGAAAATATGTGGTGAGCGAGAGGTGGTGTGGCGCGGTCTTGGCTTTGGTGGCTTTTGCGTCATGTGGGTCAGCGGCGGTTCTCAAAATGGCCCTTGTGGATGGTCTGGATGTCGACTGTGAACTGGTAAGTTGGCACTGAACACGTTGACAGAAGCCTAGTGGTATCACATTTACTGCTTTTTCAAGCGGCCGTTGGAAGTTGCATGGACAACGGTAAACCAACCGCTACAGCTGCACGCTGCGGGGCATGGGCGGGGTTAGACACGAAAGTGGAGAAATATGGACAAGGAGGGCTTTTACTCTCTAAGCAGGGCCTTCTCGTCTGTACCCTACATGGTCAGGTCCCAAGATCTCTTTGAAGATGAGTGCTCCCACCATGTAACAATACGATAAAATACAGTACAGAATACACGTACCCGGCCACCGCGCCTCCATAATGCTTAGGGCTTGATACACACGACGACATAAACCCTTGGGTGCGCAGCAGTCGAAGCCCCAAAAACCGCTGGGTACCTGCGGTGAAGAAAAGCCAACGAAATCGAATAACAAGATGAATTTAAATGCTTTTGGTCTGGTGAGAAATCAGGCTCTGGAGAAACATAAGCGCTTGGGAGTTGAGGAGGAGCAGGGAGTTGGAGGTGAAGCCGGAGGAATGGGGAGCTAGCAACCGGTAGCCCCGGTACCGGTACCGGCCACAGAATCGGAACATCGCAAATGAAGACAATACCTCCATTCCAGGCCATGGCTCATCCACGGGCACGCAGATGAGGTCGTCAAACAGTTCCTCATCAGGACAGCCTGTGAAAGTTTGTACATGGGGCCATCAGGTGTCGAGCTTTGAAGATTGTCGAAGTCAGGCTGATAAAACAGAAGGAAATACTTACCCCAAGCTGACTTAAATACACTTAGGCGATTGCCAACTTCATCAACACCGGTCTCGACCTGGAGGACGTGAGCATCGGTTCGTGCGTGAAAGCAGTTAACCCTAATAAACATATACATCCTAAGGACTATTTGATACAGTCCATGTCCAGCCCTTACGGTGGATGCAAGACACTGAAAACGAAAACTGACCTGTGTCGTGTGAAGCGCAAGAGTGAACAGAGCTGCGGCAGCATAACGCTCGCCATCATCTAAATCCATGGCTGCATGTAGAATAAAGCTCTGCTTGAACCCTGTGGTACAAGTATATGAAAAGGATGTTGTGCAGTTGGTTCCAACATGGTGGAGTTCCGTACAGGCAACTTCCGGTTTTGACTTTCAACGTTTCGTGCCCATCCAGTAACGTAGAGTTATATTTACAGGTTTTGATGAATCAATCCAAAGTTTTAACGCCTGAAAATGCTCTTGACTTCCTTAATGAAGCGTTCGACACGCTCTACTTGGCTGAAGCTGCTGACAAGGGGCATCGCCTTGATGAGGCCATATTTCACTATGAAGACTTTATAAAGCGCATAAACTCTTTCCTTGCGTCACCCGTTCGTCTGCTGTATGCGGAAGCTATTAATGAGGCGGAGCTCCGCCAGATGCTTCCTGGAGTGGAACTTCGTTTAAATCGCCTTAACAAGATGCGGGCCATCCGTGACAAGCCGCCGGTGCCGGGCGCCATTTCTCTCACCGGCCCGACCGCCGCTGCCTCGGTAGCTCCCGACGCGGTGCATGCCCTCGCCGACAGGGCAGCAAGAGCAGCCGCAGCAGTTGCGGTATCAGGCGCCGCAAGGGACAAGGCACAGCAACTCGCAGATGAGTTATTGCGACGCGCTGAGGTTGAACAACACGCTGCTGCAGGCGCCGCCACCACCGTCACGGCCGCCCCGCGCACCTGCCCAACACCGCCGATCCAACTGTCGCAGCGCTGCACCAACTGCGGAAAGCTTGGCCGTTGGGGATGTGAAGACTCCTCTAGCGCGGCCACCGAGGGGCTCCTCCTGGGTGGCCAGGCGGCGGTGGCCACAGGCAGCATCGGCACGCATACCAGTACAAATAACGCGCCCGGCACCGCAGTTGACCTTAGTTGGCCATCGCCGGCGCCGGCACCGTCAGCACCACCGCCATCGCTGCTACGTTGCGGTCGGTGCCGACAGGTGCTGTACTGCTCACAGCACTGTCAACGTGCACACTGGCCACAGCACAAGGCCTTCTGTCGTTGTTAGGAACGGGGCAGCAGTTCAAGCTGACCACAAGTAAACAGTGTGTCTCGGAGTTCCGTGATAATCGTCTTTTGCCGGAACTTTGGTTGACTAATGGACGCTGGGGTTAATGTCCGCTATTGCAACTGCCATATACGGAGCCGCCCAAAACGGTCAGGAGGTTAGGACACATGTCAAAGGCTGGGATGCAGCATTATATATATTCTAAAGTTTGGTCATTTGCAAGGTAGCCAGTTTCGGTAACTGCAGGACGTCACCTCTCGCCTTCTGCGCAAGAACGCGGGGCGCGCATTTACATGCAAACATTACGTTCAGGCCAGATTAGTTGGAATGAGCAATAGCAGTCAAGAGCACCTTCGTGCAGCCACTGAGCAACAACACGCGCGTGATGCTGGCCAAGGTGACGCACATCACGCACCGCAGGGCACCGGAACAGACCTGTCCACATCCTCAGCAACAGCAGTAGAACCCAACATGCAACAAAGCCAAGCATCTCTGCCAACCCTAGATGGCCCATCGCCAAGCACAACCGCTCTGCCACGTTCCAAACAACTTGATGAAGCTACAACCACGACCCCGGACCCAAGCTCTCGGCCGCGCGTCCCCCAGCTTTCTCGGCCCTGGTCAAACGTGCCGCTAGAGGAGCTCAGAGCTCGGCTTGCAGGTTTTGCCCTAGAGCGGGACTGGGACCAGGTAGGTCCCCTAGACCTACCCTGCGAACCAGCATCGTGAACTGAACAGACATTGGGAAGAGGGGCGCACTTGGGCGGAGATAGCAGTTGCCGCCGTCCCGAGCTCCCATCTAACCGCACGTCAAAACAACGTCCCTGCAGTATCACACCCCTCGGAATCTGCTGCTAGCTCTGGTCGGGGAGGCAGGGGAGCTGTGCGAGCTGTTCCAATGGCGGCCAGAGGCGGAGGCGGGTCCCGGACTGCCGGGATTTTCGGAAAAAGAGCGAATGGCGGTGGAGGAGGAGCTGGCAGACGTGCTCTTGTACCTGGTGCGTTCGGCTGTGCATTGGTTGTGTGTACGTCTGCTGGGAGCTAGGAAGGTTGGAGTGTCTGTGATGGGTCATCCAACCAATACAACTGGACTCGCTTCACATGCTGCCCACCTGGCTGCTTTCACATGCTATCGTTCCGGCCCTGTCTTGGCACCACCAATCCTGGTCTCCGGTGGCTCTACCGCCAACCCCGCAGGTGCGCCTGTCGGACATGTGTGGTGTGGATCTGGGGCAAGCGGCACTGAGCAAGATGCGCAAGAACGCGGCCAAGTACCCCGCTGAAAAGTGCCTTGGCTCGTCTGCCAAGTACACGGCTTACGGTGGGCCCTCGGAACAGCAGCCGCAGCAGTAGCAATCAGGGTAACAGGAGTAGCAGCAGCAGCAGCAGCAGCAGCAGCAACAACAGTACGCAGAAGCTGTAGTTGATACGGGATAGCTGTGAGGTAGCAAAATCGTCGTCATGGTCATAAATGTGAAGCCCATGACAATTAGCGGACATGTAGCGAGGCTTCGGATCCATCGTATATAATCGTAGTTGGCTGTGTATCGTTGCGCTTCCAAGCGAAAGCTGATCTATTTTGCCATGCGCACAGGGCTGTGAGTAGACAAATATGTATAAGCTGTTACCAAGCTAAAAGCTGGAGATGGGTCTCCAGTTTCGTTTCTTGACATGTGTCCCTTTGCTACCGCCGCCTGTCGCCCCTAAATTCCGTCGAAGGTCCCCGCGCAACAATTTAAGCACATTTTGTCGCATCCTATAAAATCACTCTCGCGCCACTCGTCCTGCACTGGTCTACTCGCCCTGCAACGTTCACTCCAGTTTACAGATGGCGTAGCCAACGCCTTCTGTATATATATCTTCCGCAAGAAGTAACAAGCCTAGCCCCACCTGCAGGTCCGGTCCATTGTTCGGCCTGAACGCCACAGCAGAGCGCCACCACACGCGCATAGATTACATACCACATTAGTACCGCCCCCAGGCCCTGCTGTCACAACTCAACCCCCCATTTCCCTTCATACCGCACAGCTTTCTCCTGGCGATCTGTCTTGTACTAGTACCTTCTGCCTTGTCGCTAGTAGCTCATAAGTGTGAGGAAATGATTTCGACCGCTGTAAGCTGTTCCCTGGCCAGTTACAGCTACTGCAGCAGCTGAATACAGCTACTGGTGCTGCTCTTGCAGCCCCAGCCCCGCCTTGAGTTGCGGCAACATCGCAGACAGCCGCTCCAGCATCGCCCCCGTGGTAGTCGCCGCGGCGGAACCCCCAGACTGCACCAGACATACCAGAAGTACGCGAAGGGCGATCAGCTGACGTAATGAACAAGTACTTGGGGCCAGAACTGAGAAGAGGCCAAATGTTGGGGGCCAAATTATCCCTTTCTTGTTCCGCGCCTTCCCATACCCAGTAAGCCGCAGCACATGGCAGAAGGGTACAGAAGCTCATCCCAACAGATCGTGTCGTGTCCCCCAGCACATCCTCACCTGCGCCTTGAGGTACTCCACGACGCCTTCATGCAGCTCCCCTAGTCCCCGTACCAGCGCTGCCAGCTCCGAGCCCTCCTCCGCCGCCTGCTGGAGTCGGGACAGCACCTGCCCGAGAGCCTTGCCGGGCAGTGTAACGGCCTTGCCTGGCGTGTGGGGAAGAGTTTAGGAAGGGACAACCACCCGCCCGCGTTGAAGTTGTTGAAACGTGGGGAAGGGGTTCAAAAAGAATTGCCCCAAGGAAGGGGCTAAAACGTTAAGGTACTTGCAGAGGAGGGATTACATTACCAAACCACCAACACGGACTCATAATGGTAGTTGTGGTTACGGTGGGGACGGCGCATCGTCCTCGTCCCCACCCCTGTAATAAAACCACGAGCAGAAGAGAGCATTGCATGCATGCAGTTTGCTGCTGCGGACGGCGCTGAAAGAAGGAATGGGAAGCGCGGCCCGCAGCTCCGCAAACACACTCACCCATGATCCGCATGTTGGCTAGGGGCACCATGAGAGTCAGGGCAGCAGGTGGGTCCACCTCGGAAGCCAGGGAGGACAGCAACCGCTCGCGCAGAGCCGCCAGCGCGGCCTTCTCGCCTGCAATGCAAACGCGCATCCAGGCAATGGCAATGTTGTCGACTGTCGAGGGATATAACAAATATAACACTATGCCGTTATAACCCTGTGGCGGGTTATCATGGAAACTGCATGAACTGCTTGCGTACCAACCTCCCCATTCCATATACAATACGCGGCACGAAATTAAAGCAAGGAAATCCACACAACGATGCTTTGGCAGCAGACGAACGGAAGACTGCACTCAGCTGGCAGCAACATGGAGCGAAACGACACGTTCGAACCCCGCCGGCGGCCTCCTTAGTACTCACCTTTCTTGTCCAGCTTTTTAGCCCTCACGCCCACAGCCGCCGCCGCCCGATCCAGAAGCACCTCCGCATCTCGCACCGTGGCTGCCCCTGGAGCGTCTGCAGCCGCCGCAAGGCCTTCGGCCACATCTGGAGGAACCGACCGCAGCACCTGCTTCACCTCCGCAGCCGTCAGGAAGCCGGGACCATTGCCAGACACCGAAGCCGGGCCCCCTGCCGCTGCGCTCTGCTCCGCCCCCTCTGGCGGGTGCTCCACTCGGGCCCAGCGGTACAGCAGGTCCACACACTCCGCACCTGAGAGCAACACATCACAATGCAGCGCAGGGAAGGCGCCAGGGCGCCAAGCTCGCCGAGGCTACTTGTGAAAGGCGAAGGAGATGCAGAGGCTCCAAAGGGAGGTTAGGCACAAAGAAAGGAGATCTATAGCTTCCAAATGCAACGAGAATAGGTTGGGAAACCTTAGCTATACGATAGCTTGGGATCCCAGCTATAGACGTGAGCCGCGCACTGTCAGGGAAATGTTTCGGTAGCTTTATTTCTGTGCTTGAAAAAAGGGCGCTTGTGCTATCTGCTATGTGCTATGGACTACAGCCAAACAGGCATTAGGAGAATCGGTTCCTACCTGTCGTTCGAAGGGCATGTCGCTGAAGCGCGGTATAGGTCGCCTCGTCATCTGCATAGGTCTCCACGCCCGCACCGTACAGAAGCAACCGAGTGCAGCTTTCCTCGAACTGACGTGCAAGGGACTCCTTTGCGCGACGACGCTCCTCAGCACCCGCGGTGAAGGCAGCCTGAGCGTGTCCCAGGGGGGGAAAGACGAACCACGGGTCCCAGGGGGGCAGGGAGCAGCGCGCGAGATCGCAAGCCAGCACCACAGCGATCCACCACAGAAATCATATACAAAAACTAATTTCGTTTGTCAAATTCTTAAAAACCTTAAAAAACATGACGAGCCGCTAAACTCCGATGGGAGTTGCGCACCAGGCAGTGGCATTGGAATGTTGCCTATTTTGGTTATTGCGGCTACCATAATGTCCAGAGCTCAATCTTCGGGTTGGTAAAACGCGATTTTTGGCAACTCGGTCGAAACTCGGTCGTCGAGTCTTCCAGCGCACCTGGAGGGCCTCCTCGTACGCCGCAACAGCGCCGGGAAGGAGCAGCTGCGCCACCGCCTCCGCTTTGCCGTCGTCAACGCCCCCCCAGTCCATTTCCGGAAACCAGTCGGGTAACTTGGCCGCGAGAGCCGCCGCATTCAGCCCGACCCCGGCGTGGCCGCCACCGCCACCACCAGCACCCGCCGAAAAAGACTTGGGGTCTTTGCTGCCGCTGCTGCCCTTGCCACCACCGCCGCCACCCTTGCCGCCGCCGCCGCCGCCGCCCTTCTTCCCCTTCCCGCCCTTCTTCCCTGCCGGCGCGTGTGGGCAACGTCGACATCCTCTCATATCCGTAATCCATTATTCATACATCCCCGAAACAGTCACGCCAACGACCGCCGTTGCCGGTAATGGTATATGACGACGTTATCACACCGAATATGGGGACATTACGTCAGACCCTTGCCGATATATTTTGTGCGCCCAGCTGTGCCGCTTTGCCAAAATGGTGTCGGGAACGGAGGGCACGAAAGCAATCTACAACAGCCCCCGGCTAAGTCGAATTTTTGAATCTTTCTAGGGAGGGGAAAGGAGAAGAATGCACAGCCAACGCAATCGCCTACCAAGCGCGTACGGTACAGGCTGTCTCTCGGACATAGTGAGAAAGAAATGTGAAACAGGGGGTGGGGGGTTTAAAAGGGGGTGGGGTAGGAAATACCAGCTCTGCGACCCACCTACCCGATCCCATAGACCAGTCGTCGTCGTCATCATCCGCCGCAGTGGCCGCAGCAGCAGCAGCAGCAGCAGCCGCGCCGCCTTTCCTCTTGCCACCAGCGGCGCTACCCACTGCCGCCGCACCCGCGCCGCTGCCGCCGCCGCCGGCACCGGCCGTCCCGGCGGCACCGCTGCTGGCCTTGCGCTCCTGCAGGGCCTTATGAGCAGCCGTGCGTGCATCCGCATCTGCTTTTTCCTGCAGTCCCGACACCACAGCGGCACTGACCACCCAGGTGCCGCCAATCTAGGGCCCGGGACCGCAACAGCCGTAACCAGGCACCACGTACGTTGCCGTACAGCCGCCGCCGCCATGGCCATTTCAGGAGCAACATCAGGCCAGCCAATGCCATCCAGCCACAATGTCCAAACCACAGAAGTTCCGTCCAAAGCGGCGGGGCGGTCCCAACGCAGGTACCACGGTGGCAGAGGAGGAGTAGGAACAGCAGCAGGCGGCCGACAGACAACCAGACAGACAGATCATCAGGTAAGTGGGGGAACAGATACACACACACAGATACACACACAGGGGGGGCCGACATCAACGTACGGGCGCCAAGGTGAGGGAAAATTGGATCTGGCGATAACCGACTGACCATTGTTATTTGTGTCCAGCTGTAACAAGGCACCAGTATAGCTATTACCCTTTCCTTTATAGCAGTCATTCGAACCTAAAAGCATAAACTAGGATTAATAAACAGAAAATAGCAAGGAGCTGCAGGGGTTACGCCGTGTGCCGTGAAGGCGACAAGGCGGGGACAAGGCGGGACACGGCATCATTATTGTTTATTATTGGTTGGGATATACGTACATATACATCACAGCTAGGATCGTAAGAACAACGGTAGCGACACAGAAAGGTACGCGTGTTGCCCAACGCGAGCTAATGTCACGTTTCGCAGCGCAGGGTGGAGGGGCTGGCTGGCAGCAGCAGCGCACGATCAGATGGCCCCTGGACACGCTGGTTCATTGTCCAGGGCCAGCACAAGGCTCCAGACCATGATCTGCCTTCCATCAGCTTGTCAATGGAGTTGTTGTTGTTGTTGGTGGTGGTGGTGGTGATGGCGATGGCGATGGCAGCGGACCGGCCTCATCCCACCGGCCAGCCGGATAGACAACTCCCCGCCATCCCCTTATCCACAGCTCCAGCAAAGGTCCAGATTTGTCAAGGTTGGGTGACCCACGGGTCGCGCGAGCAAGCAGTACAAGCCACAGCTCGGCTAGCAAAGCGGTGCGAATCTCCGAAGCTAAGTCAGCTGGAAGAGACCAAAAGAAAACGCCCAAAGAGGGCATACAGAAAAGATTTCAAGAGACGACGTCCTAGTGAGATTCTGCGGTGCTCACCACGTGCACCTTCCGCTCCTTGGCCGGTCGTCGCTCCTGGTCTCGGAGCAAAGGAATCCGCCCCAGCAGCGCTGCCACGTCAGCCTCACTCAGCACGCTAGGCAGCAGCGGCGCCACATCCACCCATCCGCCGCCGCCGCTACCGACGCCAGAGCCAGTGCTGGCCGCTGCCGCCACGTCCTCCACCGCTGCCTCCAGCGCCGCCAGCAGGGAAGGCGACACGAAGGCCGACTCCAGGGGAAGGCCGTCGGGAAAGGTGCCACGCAAGTAGGACCGCTCGTTGGAAATTCCCAGGCTAGGCGCATAGGAGGGTTCGGGGACATCACGGATGAGTATGGGGGTGAATTTACTGCGGACGGAAGTAAAGACGGAGGAGTTGCGGAACGTGCACACCTTCCCCCCTGCACCCGTAAGGGGAAACGCGTGCATATACATACATGTATATAACCCACTCCGCACTCCGAAACCACTACTGCTCCTTACCGGCGCACTGTGTCGTACGCAACCCATCCATTTTGGCTGTAGAAACTTGCCACTGCATCCTGCTGTACCTCGCCGTACACAGCAGGTGCCCAACTGGTGCCGCCACCTTTCAGGGCGCCGCGGAGAGCGCCTGTAGTTGATAAGACCGGGAGGTGACTTGGTAACCACATATTGCACAGCAGATTATTCTTCCTGGGCAGATTACCCATAGATTACCAAGAGCAGACAGTCCAGGTACTACATGCCATCAGGTACATTTCCCAGGAAGCTGGGTTACCTTACCTTCCTGCACCAGCTCCTCAATAAGCGTGGCAATGACGCCGCCGCCCCCGCTGCTGGCGAGCGCTGCGGCCAGGCCGGCCCCCCCGCCGCCGCCTCCTGCGGACGCCGCGTCACCGGTGGCGCCCAAGCCTGCGTCGCGCATCAGGTTGAGCACCAGCGCAGGCGATGCTGCCGCCCTCAGAGCGCCGCGCAGCTGTGCCTTAATGGCACGCAGGTATGACTGTGTGTACAGCAGGCCGCCCTCCAGACGCCCTGTCGTGCGGTATTGGATCGAGTGAGTGCAGTCGGGGAGACACACCGGCGCCACGGGGTGGGTAAAGGAAGGTTAGAACGCAAGGGCAGATCAGGCAGGAACCGGGCTAAAGGGGCAAGATGACAGCAAAAGTCAAGGGGATGGATATGGTGGGAGGCGGGGACGGTGAGGCGGGGACTAGGGTGAGGTGGGGGGGGCTTTGAATGTGGCAAACCATGAAACTGCATCACTGCAGGTGTGGGAACCTTGGAGCCACCCCTTCCCACTACCCTACCCTGGCACGCGACATCATACGTTTCATGTACTGCCCTCACATCCAGGGCTGCGAGAGCGGAGAAACAAAACTCCCCTTTGGGAATCCAGCTGGCAAACACCTCGCCGCTGCTTACCGGTAATTGTTGAACCCAACCGCATCGACACCATGTTCAGCACCATTTCCGTGGCCAGCCCGTACTGCGCCGCCAACTCTCCAATATTAAGTTGACCTGCCTCATGCAGCTGGTCGTTAATCTCTGCTGCGATAGCGTCGAAGTACTGTGTCGTGATCAGTTCCCCCTGGACCTCCATCACCGTGCCACCGCTTTCCGAAACTATTACGGAGGCCTGTCGTTCGCAGTGAACATAATCCACGCCGACAATAGTCGGCAGCTCCACGAGCGACAGGCGACCACCTGCCTGGCGCAACGCATTCTGTATCTCGCTGCGCAGGCATTCGACCGTCAGGTACTCCTTGCCGTTTAATGTATGAAGTAATTCCCCTTCAGAAAGAATGCCCAATTGCCGCAGCTTATTGATAAGTTCCACAACATTTCTCTCTGAAAGCTTTGCTGCAGACAAGGCCTGTTGCGTGGCAGCTAGCTGCGTTAGAAGAGAACTAAGATCTAGCCCTAAAGCAGCTTCCATGTCAGAAGCTGACCTTTCGGTTTTTACTGGTTAAACTGTTACAGTCAATTGGAAATAAGGGTGTACTCCTCACGTAAATTTGCTGAGATAGCTAAACTTTAATAACTAAAGACGAATAACCTACTTCAAGCCGGATGCGCAGTAAATTCTGGGAACAGCTGAACTGCCGCGTCGTACGCAGGTTCCGCGTTCAAGAAGCCCACATCTCACGCATCCCCATGTTGGTATTTATCGTAAGATGCCTTAAACTCATGTAAACTTAGACCCGCCTCAAGGTGATGACGATCTCATGCTCACGTACACTGATCAGGTGCGCTCCATGATGGTTAATCCGTTCACATTGTTGGCCATATTGGCATCAGCATTCAGGTTTCGCTCTGCAGTGCTAAGGGGCTTCCGTTGGCCAAAGGTCCAGTGGCATTGGGAATACACGTTCCCCTAAGCCCTATCGTGTGTAAGCGGTGCCGGTGCAGCGGGGGATGCGATTGTTACAGTGGACCCCGAACGGGTCGAGTGCAGCGCCCATAGGAGCGCCTCCCGCACAACACTGTGGGCCTTATTCAAAAAGAACTCGGCCAGGCCGTACTAACTTCACTGGACACACGGCCTCAGTTAGTATGCTTAAACAGAAAATTGAGGCTCCGACGTGCGCCCTCAAACTTCGTCATTGTATATCGGTAAACGGCAAACAACCGGTGCAGCGGTCCGCGTGCATGAGGAGAACTTGGGACTATCATAAGAAACAGAAGATCCCGCCAGCAAGAACGAGAACATGCATCCACCTCGGCAATTTGATCAAGCTAAAGCACATTTACGAACAGCTGCACCCAACGATAAATAATATCTCTATTGCGTAGGCCAGGTCTATGGCATACCGACATCAGTTCCGCAAATCTGAGCAACGAACTCCATCGCTTCAACGGCCAACCGTCGCAACGCTAGCAACAACAACTTCCGAGTGCTTCCGCTATCCGCAACGCGACCATGCACTTCAGGACCGCAAAAGCTTGCCAGCAAGCGGAATTAACATGGTCCGATAAATATCCATCACGTCACGTCACACGTCCAATGGTCACGTCACATCTGTCCCGTTCCCCAATCCTAAAATCTCCTTTTCCCGAAAGTCTGATGGCGTATGGCGGTATGGGTCCTAAAACAAAATCAGCAACAGAATGTGTAAAAAGAGTTGCATGCCCCAATGCCCATGGGCCTTGCCCTGTCATCTCAAGCATGGTACCTCCTACCCGTTTGCGGTCCGTCCCCAATGCATGCTATCCATCCTTCGACCGCAACGTTCACGCTGGTGGTAGCTGTCGGCCTGCAGCCCTCAAGCACACACCCTCTAGGGCTTTTGCCTTGCCTCGCTCATTACGATTCGACTACGACTGATCCATTCCTCCAAAAATCATCAATTCATTTAAACAGATGCCACACGTTCAGTCACCAGGCGCTTTGCGCGCCCAGTTTGACACGCCATAGTGGTACGGGCCCATGGCATGAAGCTAACGCGCCCGGGCTACAAGAACAAGATACGTCTACAGGAGGATCGCATTGGCGAGAGCCTTGACCAACAGTAAGCAGCTCATAGGAGAGTCCTTCACGGCCCTAACTCCTTAATGCAGCCAGGTTGTTCCAACTAGTGCGAGAAGCCTGGAAAACAGCCCTTCGCGACAGAGCTTTGAGGCTTTGCAGATGCACAGCACCACACACACACACACACATGCACGCACGCCAACGTATGACAACAAACAAAAATGAGGATGACGAACAGTATAGGACTTGTGCAATAGGTATGGTTTAAGGGCCTGTCACGTCTACCTCACTACCTTCCTATAGGAACATAGCTATGTTGTATGTTGGAGCGTATCTTGTCTACTGTAATTCAAATGTCCTTTCTCTTCTAAACTAGTATATAACGATTGCTAAAAATACGTTTTCCCGAAAGCCATTTGCGTGGCCTTGATGGTCCAGAGGGTAATGGCCGGCGCTGTGAAAACCCTTGCCCCGGAACAGACAGGAGCGGAATGGAAGATGCGGAGCTACTGTTTACCCTGAGGCACGTGCGCGTACGCATAGGGACTATACACTCTAAAACACGTGGGAACACCGTATCCTGGAAAAACCAACGACAGCTAAATGTGAACATGCTGCAGCGCCACACTCTCTGTGCACATGCAAGAGTCTGTATCTTATTTCGCGTATGGGAAGCAGACAGACACGACCGATGTAAACATTTTCTTAAGGAACCGGATAGCCGCCGCTGCCGCCGTCGTCTAGATGGCGACCCGTGTTTGGCGGACAACCTTCTCCGATAGGATTACCACACTCCATCCGCACACGGCGGCGGCTGCAGTAGCGTCACCGTGCCGGCCACCTCACCGTCACGAAGGTAATCGCTCCAAGCGGACAGCAGACCCCCTACCACTGCAGTCGTAGCACTGCTGTTGCTGAGACCGCGACACCCCTTGCAACTGCTGACGCCAGTACTGCGTACCTCCGCTGTAGGCGCCATAGAAGGTGCCTCCGGCAGCTGTCGCAGCGCTAGCACGTTCGCACCACGACCGCCGCCGACGGGCCAGATGTCCTTGGTCGTACTGAAGTACACCCCGTCGTCTACCAGGGCCTCCTGATGCCAATGGTGCACAGATAGGTCCGCGTCCACGCCCGCAACCACGGCAATGGCCGACTTGGCCCCAGTGAAGCTCGAGCCGCGCACCTGGTACGCCTCCGGAAACTGGCTATACAGACCCAAGTTAGCGTCCGTCGCACCGTGTCGGTATTCAATGGACGGCCACCACTCGAAGCCGCTGGCAACGACGGTGCCAGTGAAGTCGCCTCGGAAGGAGCCGGCCATGCAGCACAGAGCACCGGGTTGCAACTCCGCCAGTGCACGATGCAGCTCCTGCTCCGTAATGTGCCAGTGGTATACGAGGCCCGTGGGCGGCAGGCACTGCCGCCGGCGGCGTTGGCTGTACCAGGGCGAGTCCATGTCATAGACTTTTCGGCCCGCGGATAGTAGAGCGTCACGCAAGGGCGGCTGTGCGGTCACCAAGCTGCATATGAAAGCCGCCTCTGCGCCACGAATTGGAAACCAAGCAGCTGGCGAAGCTGCTGCAGCGATGCATGTTGGCGAACGGGGGGAATTTGCGGTTGCAGCTGCACCGCTGATGGGGTTCGTGCATGTGTTGGCGTTCACAGTAGTCACAGTGCTTCCGGGCACAGCGGAGGCAGACGTGGCAGCAGCACCAATGCCGCCGCTGTTGGACGTAGGCGCGTAGGCACCGGCTGCGCCGACGGAGGCAGCAGCAGCACCCGTCGCGGCGACAGGCTGCAGTGGCTCGCTAGCCCCGCAGGTCTCATAGTCGAGCGCGAGCACTGGCAGAATGGAACTGAGGTACGGCCGGCTCAGCTGCACGAGTCGCACCTGCCGGCACAGCCGCTCGCGCATTAGAGCATCGGTTGAGGCGTGGTTGCCTGACATCCAGGTGGCCAGCAGCAGCAGCACGCTGGACTCGTTATCAGTGCCAAAGTCGTCCGATTCGAGGAGGGCCTCCACGGCCGTGCCATGCAGCTTGAGCAGCTGTTGCCGCAGGCTGCGGGTATTGAGTGTGCGCAGCGCGTCTCCAAAGTGCCGAACAAGCTGTGGTTTAGCAGCCGCGAGAATGGCTGCAAAGTCGGGCTCCTGCGCTGGATCGGGCCAGATAGGCTCGCAAGAGTACAGATCCAGAACAGCTTCTGGCGGAGGCAGCGGCCCAGACAGAATCGGTGCGCACAGGCCGTCAGCGGAGTTGGTCATGCCGGTGGAGGTGTTGGCCCCCCCGCCGCTGCTGCCACTTCTCGGCGACGAGGCGAAACCAGCACTGCGTTCACCGGCTAGGTTATTCCAACTCACATTGTTGCCGGGGCCGCTTGTGCTGGTGGCGTTGGTGGCGCTTGCTTCCGCAAATTTGGCCTTGACGATTTCCATGCAGGCGGCCGCGCAGCCCTCAACGCGGAGGTTGAGCGCCTGTCGGCGCACTTCCAAGGCCTCACGGATGCTGGACGCCCGCACATCCCCCGTGTAAGCATACCGAATGGCGGCGCGGGCGCTGGGTTCTTCCCCTTCGTTATTCAGGTTCACCCTCAGGACTGGGCGTCCGTCGACGGTCGCTGGCGGAAGGCCGCTCTGCTCCGATGTCCCGTTGCGGGATTTCCTGGTATCCCAGCGTTTCAGCTGTGGCGGTCAACAAGGTTCGCGGCAGCAGGTTAGTTTATGTCCTGCTTTCATACAGGAGAACGTAAGACTTAGATTTGGCATTTACCTGCGCACCGAAGCGCTCAGAGGCAAACCGTAGGACCAGCTGGTGTCCAGGCAGAGGATCGCCAACGATTATGGAGTCTCCCCGGCCGTGGATGCTAACAGATCCGTCGCCTACTCGTTGGCGTTTGGGAAAAGGCTCGCCCGTTGCTGGAGCTGATGTATCTTGTAGGCTGCTTGGATTGAGGCAGAAGACCACGACGCAGTCAGAGTCGTCTTCGCTCGAATACAAGGAAGCCAGCTGCTTTGCAACATGCTCGTTCCCGGAAGTTTTCATTTCAACCGTTATAGGATTAAGCAGTACAAAAGCACGTTAATCAACCAGTTGGTTTTGACCGGTGTCGCACGGTCAATTTCGGCCAGAGGGAATTTCCGTTGCCCCAAAGGCCATATACTATGAATGTACAGGAATGTGTCTAAAAACAGCACAATTTTTTTGTACATTTCGACCAATGCGCTTTGTTACGTGTCATGAAATTGGATCCAGAAAGCTGTCAGGCGTGAAACAGAACAACCCGGCAATGTCTATTCCGGGTCCATTAAACGCATAGCACCTTTATAACATGAAGCTATGCAGGATGAATAAATTTTATGTTTTATTGCCGCGTTGTGATAGCGACAGGCAGAGGTGACTTGCTAATACAGCTTTCAATGAAGGACCGCTCAGTTCCATATGCTTTAGCGTAACAAGCCCGCCAGAGCAATATGCGACAAAGAGATTGCAGGCCGAGATTCAATCGGAAGGGACATTCCGTCCTTCTTAGAAGTTTAAGAAATGGATGCCTAAATGCAATCTATGGAACAGTTATAGCACACTTAAACACAGCGCAGCCTTCATTAAACTACACGTATTTGGACTATATCTATCTGTGAAACGGTGTACAACTTTAGTTATTTGAGTGTAATAAGACCTTGCGCCTAAAATAGTTGGTTAAATAAATGCAATCGTTGTTACATTAGCGTTATATACCTAGGGAGGAGCGAGTATGCCCTTGCTGCGGCACTGATAGCCATATCGAGGACGAGAAGCACATTTTGATGGACTGTCCGGTGTACAACAAAATCAGATCTGATATGGGTTTCCCACGCTTCGAGCATATGAAGGACGCTATGAAGTGGGAACCTGAACGCCTGGCAAGGATGCTGGAACGCATATGGTCCCACCGCAACTCTATCGTTCCCTTTGGTCGTTAGTATCCTTCATTACTTGTTTCCTTGGAAGTGCGAGGTAGGATGGTGCTTATAGGCGAATTGGCAGGCCTTGAGCCCTCGGCTCGTATTAGGGTGGTTTGCAGGTACGGGGAACGCACCCACGACCTTGTAATAACAACAACAACATTAGCGTTCCATTGTTGCACGTACGTAGCCATGCGCGAAGTTATGCTTCTGTCACTGATACCACACACCCGCTGGTTGACGCAAGCCGCTTGCAACACCGGCAAGCCTTTGTAGCATTGTGGCAGAGGGCCCCAAGCCGCGCCCCCTGCCTCTCTAACCTCCACCTGCCCGACTAACCAACAAGCAAGATCGATACATGCGCGGCAATCCTAGAGGTTAGGGTGGTAATAACACGGTAACATGTTTGGTCACTCAAGGGCTTCGCTTTGCGAGGGCCCATGTAGTCCAGGCAGGGGGCTGCGCTACAATGCATCCTACTTTATGAAATGCCTTTTATTCGCCACCGCCACCGCGCAAATACCTACCAAACGCAACCGCCGCCGCGCAAATCCCCAAATCCTGGGCATCCGGGGAGATACACAACACAGAGCCCGCCCATCTGTGGCATAGTCACATGATGGTAGGTCAGTCATATGGTTGAAATAGTTGAACGCCCCGCCGATGTCACTCACTGCAGATCCATTTCGGTGCAAGCGCAGCGCTGCAAAACTTTGTAAACAAGTCCACGCGCCCAATACTGCAAGCCTAAAACTCGCAAATCCAGCACGCTGGTCAAATATTCAAGCATATCACACATTGCATCCAGCCAAATGGGTATCCGCAACAGACATCTATCAACAGCCCGTACCGCAGCCGCAACTATGCTACTTGTAACCCAAAGCATGCCTTGCTTCTTCCTTGAAACGCGTGAGACCCTAGCCATTGGCCGAACCCCGCCTGCCACACACATACCCACATACACCAGCGAATCGCCAAGACTTCGGGTCGCGAAAGGGAAAACGTGGTCGGTAAAAATCCATCCCCTCCTGTATCCGCCACATCTGCCATATCCATTTGTCATACTTGAGTAATTCGTGACAGCGTATTTATTATGGTCTACGTATGGCTTAGGGCCAACAACTGCAACCTATCCAAGGGCCGGGGCGTATACCTGCATACCCCCCCTGCCCGTTCACCGTCATCCCATTATGCCGAAGCATAACACCATGGAACCCCAACACGCCTCCATCATGGAACAGCAACATACCAGTGCGTGTGATAGTTGCCCTCCCACATACAAGGCTTATGAGGTAGCCCTTCTTAACATACATCGTCTATAACCTGACTTCATAACTCTTCATTAAATCCATCACACATTATTCTACGGGTAATGTATGGATGACGGCCATGGCGTGGAGCTGCCGCGCCTGCCTGAGCTGAACATAAGGGTGGCAACAGTATCGCGCCCACATATACCGCACCCGCACACCTTGCTAAAGAGGTTGCCTGGCTTAACACATATCGGCTATATTACTTACCATCCTTAGCGGTAAGGTCGGTGTCAGGGCCATGGCGTGGACCTAACACTGCTGCCGCGCCTGCTTCCCACAGATACTCCGTCAACCTCGCCTAAGATACGGTAAATCTACAGGAGGATCGCATTGGCGAGAGCCTTGACCAACAGTAAGCAGCTCATAGGAGAGTCCTTCACGGCCCTAACTCCTTAATGCAGCCAGGTTGTTCCAACTAGTGCAGCAAGCAAGCAAGCAAGCACGCTCGCTTGTACAAAATCACCGCGGAATCATGCGCTCAGTACGCGATCCCTGGCAGCCACTTTCGGGGCTGCCAGGGCTACCCCGTCAGCAATGGCGCATTGCTCGGGGTTGCGTCCTGGCCGTCCATGCAAGGCCGTGGATAGGTGTGGAACAGGCCCAGCACCCCGCGTGTGTTCCACGCAACCACTGAGCCCCTTCCCAGATGCACAGCAGCACCCTTGCAGTGGCCGTGCATCCGCGCAGGGGGACGCATGAGGACGAAGTCAAAAAGGGCAGGTCTCTAACCACGCCTATTGGAACGCACGAGAACGAAGTCAATTTAGGCAGGTTCAACCACAGTACCATTGTAAAAGACGCTAGCAGTTGGCACCTTGCCGCCCTGGCACAAAGGAGCATGTCCGACCTCACGTTAACTCAAATGTCCCACCTCGGGTCGAGCTTCTATCCTGTAACGAATGCTAGCAGTGCGCACTTTATCGACGAGTGCTAGTGGCAGGCCTTTCTATAGCCCTTGAGCCCCCAGATTGTATGAGCAGGATTGCAGTTACGGGGACACGCACGTCCGAACCTATGTCAAGTGCACATGCATACACACGCGTATGCGTGGACACACGGTACCATATAAACGGCACAATGGCTTTTGCACATGCAATGCAGCGAAACACTCTTGCGGCGCACACGCAAGAACCCCAATTGAGCACACGAATTTGCAGGGCTGCAATGATAAGTGGCCAAATTATTCCCAAATACCCAAACCACGCAAACTGGCTTAGCAATCCCGGAATGCTCACACGAATTCCAAATATCGCAACTGTCCCATAAGAATGCAAGTGTTAATCAAGGCTGTAACAGTCCCAAGTTGTCGTGCAAAAGCGAGTGTTTTCGTTATCTCACGTGTCACACTAGTAACCCCGAGAGGCGCCAGCAACCCCAAGGATCTAGACCATAGCCCAAGTGTCACAACTATCTCCAATGTCGATACTATCGCACAACATACCCAATCAACAGCAACAATCCCCAAATTCATACTGAATGCCCCGGCGTAGAACCAGGACTTTCCTTTTCTGCACTTGCATCCAAAGTCAAGCTATAATGCTAGGCGATGCCCACATAAACTCATGTGGGCATAGGAAGGTTCTCATGGGAATGAGGGAGAACGGGAGCTGCCACTGCTGCCAGACCGCTTCCGTGCATAATCCCTTACCATCCCCCGCCTATGGACGGCATCAGCTGCAGCAGTGTCAGTGTGCCGGCCACCTCACCGTCACGAAGGTAATCGCTCCAAGCGGACAGCAGGCCTGCAGCCATGCTGCTATTGCTTCCGGTACCGCAGCGACACACTTTGCTAATGCAGCTCCTATTCCCGCGTACCTCCGCTGTAGGCGCCATAGAAGGTGCCTCCGGCAGCTGTCGCAGCGCTAGCACGTTCGCACCACGACCGCCGCCGACGGGCCAGATGTCCTTGGTCGTACTGAAGTACACCCCGTCGTCTACCAGGGCCTCCTGATGCCAATGGTGCACAGATAGGTCCGCGTCCACGCCCGCAACCACGGCAATGGCCGACTTGGCCCCAGTGAAGCTCGAGCCGCGCACCTGGTACGCCTCCGGAAACTGGCTATACAGACCCAAGTTAGCGTCCGTCGCACCGTGTCGGTATTCAATGGACGGCCACCACTCGAAGCCGCTGGCAACGACGGTGCCAGTGAAGTCGCCTCGGAAGGAGCCGGCCATGCAGCACAGAGCACCGGGTTGCAACTCCGCCAGTGCACGATGCAGCTCCTGCTCCGTAATGTGCCAGTGGTATACGAGGCCCGTGGGCGGCAGGCACTGCCGCCGGCGGCGTTGGCTGTACCAGGGCGAGTCCATGTCATAGACTTTTCGGCCCGCGGATAGTAGAGCGTCACGCAAGGGCGGCTGTGCGGTCACCAAGCTGCATATGAAAGCCGCCTCTGCGCCACGAATTGGAAACCAAGCAGCTGGCGAAGCTGCAGCGGTGGTCGCTGGGAACAGGGAGATAGAAGTGAAGCTGGCGGAGGAAGTGTTGCAGCCGGTTGTGCTTGCGCTCATGCACGTGTTTGCTGTGACGGTGGTGATGCCGCTGGTTGTAGTAGCGGTAGGGCCGACACCACCGCCGAAACTGTAAGGTGTGTGCGTTGCGGCAGCAGCAGCAGCACCCGTCGCGGCGACAGGCTGCAGTGGCTCGCTAGCCCCGCAGGTCTCATAGTCGAGCGCGAGCACTGGCAGAATGGAACTGAGGTACGGCCGGCTCAGCTGCACGAGTCGCACCTGCCGGCACAGCCGCTCGCGCATTAGAGCATCGGTTGAGGCGTGGTTGCCTGACATCCAGGTGGCCAGCAGCAGCAGCACGCTGGACTCGTTATCAGTGCCAAAGTCGTCCGATTCGAGGAGGGCCTCCACGGCCGTGGCAGGAAGCTTGAGCAGCTGTTGCCGCAGGCTGCGGGTATTGAGTGTGCGCAGCGCGTCTCCAAAGTGCCGAACAAGCTGTGGTTTAGCAGCCGCGAGAATGGCTGCAAAGTCGGGCTCCTGCGCTGGATCGGGCCAGATAGGCTCGCAAGAGTACAGATCCAGAACAGCTTCTAGCGGAGGCAGCGGCCCAGACAGAATCGGTGCGCACAGGCCGTCAGCGGAGTTGGTCATGCCGGTGGAGGTGTTGGCCCCCCCGTCGCTGCTGCCACTTCTCGGCGACGAGGCGAAACCAGCACTGCGTTCACCGGCTAGGTTATTCCAACTCACACTACTGGCGTTCGTACTGGCGTTGGTGGCGCTTGCTTCCGCAAATTTGGCCTTGACGATTTCCATGCAGGCGGCCGCGCAGCCCTCAACGCGGAGGTTGAGCGCCTGTCGGCGCACTTCCAAGGCCTCACGGATGCTGGACGCTCGCACATCCCCCGTGTAAGCATACCGAATGGCGGCGCGGGCGCTGCGTTCTTCCCCTTCATTATTCAAATTCACCCTCAGGATTGGGCGTCCATCAGTGGTTGCTGTTGGAGGGCCGTTCTGCTCCGATGTCCCGTTGCGGGATTTCCTGGTATCCCAGCGTTTCAGCTGTGGCGGTCAAAGCAGTCCGCGGCAGCAGATTAGTGGACGTCACGCATCTAATGAGGCATTCATGAACTTTGACATCCTTTGCTTACCTGCGCACCGAAGCGCTCAGAGGCAAAGCGGAGGACCAGCTGGTGTCCAGGCAGGGGATCACCAATGATAATGGAGTCCCCCCGGCTATTGCAAACAGATACATCCCCTACTCGCTGGCGCTTAGATATAGGTTCTCCGGTTGCTGGTAGGGCTGTCTCCTGCATGCTGCTTGGATTGAGGCAGAAGACGACAACGCAGTCAGAGTCATCTTCGCGCGAATACAGGGAAGCCAGCTGCCTTGCAACATGCTCGTTCCCAGCACTTTTCATTGGAACCGTTATGAGTCCAAGCAGTACATAAGCAACTATAACTATTTTCCTTTTGACCGGTGTCGCACGGCCAGGCCGTTTCGGCCAGAGTGAAGTCTCTGTCTATGTAAAGGCCAGCGATCTATGTATATGTGCACATAGAAGTTCCGCTTGAGTAGTTGTTTCTTCGGGAATAGGCACATTATCTGCGTTAAGTGCGTTGACCGTGGATCCAGATAGCTGTCATGGACCCGCGGCTTTCGTAGGTGTCATTCCGGCATACTCATAATGTCTTCTTGCATAGTGTTTACTCCTTCTTCAGAGAAGTAGGTGTACATGTGACATCGTAGGGGAGTTTGTGTACGTAACAAATTCCGGATACGTTGAACTGAGCTCGCTTCTGGATTGCCCGCATCGCCGTCTACTGTGGTGCTAAAAGTACCTGTTAAGTTCATTGCACCCTTTAAGCGAGAAGCAGCAGCGAAGGCATCTATCTCTTAAGAAGATTCCAGCTTCTGCTTTTAGTGCTCGGAAAGAGCCGGTATGTAGCAAACCGCTCATTTCAAGGGCCTTTCCATGACAGCAGCGCCTTCAAACACTCAACACCGACGTCCACAAAGCCACACGCTGGCACTATAGTGGGTGCACTCAGCCTGCAATGCCCAACGCACCCGACGAGGCCGCACTGCCGGATATCACTCCCATCCCCTATCCCGGTGCAACGTGAAATCTCTTTTCCTACCATAAACACCCGCAAGCCAACAAACCAAGCAATACACATGAAACCAGCAATTGATTGAAGACACATGCACCGCAACCCACATTACCCAGCACAGAGTTCACGCCGTGTAACAGGCCGTCAAATGTACATACGTTCGTCCGCGCTTGCAAACCCCCATCCAACCCCAGGTTATTTCCCTCCCTGCACGCTCCAAGCTTCGAGTAGAAAGTAGAAACCGAGGGCTGAATTGCATTGTATCGCACATCCAACTCCTTTGGTGCGCCGTTAAACTGGTGGCCTTTGATTAAAATTCCCACGCATTTTGTTAGTGATAAGGTTATGATGATGCAAGGGAAGGGGAGAAAGGGGCTGAGGTAAACATCAAACCTAGAGGACAGATGAAAATAAGCACACTTCCACCAAAGCCCATCATACACACACGCAAAAGCAGCAAACCCAAATGTGTTTGAAACACCCGAAAACAGCTCGCCGGAAAACCCAGCCACCAAGGCACATTGCAAAAAAGCTTCCCACAGAGGGACAACAATTTCCACGTGCTCAAATGGTTCAAGCAAAAATTATGAACTCCGCCACATTTTTTCCTATGCCGCTAGTCCGGCTGCAGTGGCAGGACATTATGTCGCTAAAGAGCTGGACGGCACGGCAATTGCTAACGGGACGCCAAATACAGGAAAAAGAAGCAGGAAGCAGCACCTGCGCTTTCAACTCCCTTTTCCCTCAGCCAGCCGCCCACCATACATCCGATCTCCCGCGCGTGTGCACGTGCACACACCGGGAACACGTGAACAGTGAAAAAACACACGCGCACAGGTATACAGATATACAGCCACACGCGCATTGTCCACAGTTCCATACAAAGGGGATGCGACAAGAACGTCGAAAGGAATAGGAGAGAAAAGCCGAGCGCCACATAACAAAATTCTACACATGACCATCACGACCGCCACCACCGTCACCGCGGCCGTAAACTGGCAACCTCCAAATAATCTTCCAGGACCACACCATTAAAAAAAGGTAGAGTGTGTTTAACCCTGGTTATTTTTAAGATCCCTTAATTCCCATTACGTTCATTAGGAGGGCTCTGGCGCACACCGCAGGAAAAGCCCAAGACGGGGATTCAGGTAGACGGATGAGGAGCGAACGCGTCCAAGGAACACAAAGCCCAGACACTAGCAAGGATTAGCGCGCCAGCGGCATCAGCGCCAGGGAAAAAGCTACAGAGCGTAGAGACGTACACACCTCTTTGGCATCCGTCCCTCCCCCATCGAACCAGAAGCCCCCACGAAATCGGAAACGCGAATCCGAAAACGCGACCTGGGCCCCCTCCTGCCTCCTCACACGCCGCCATCCGCCCGACCAAACAACTGAGACTAAGGGTATCTCTCTTAGTACCGCGCTGTGACACCCGGGCATTTGTTGCGCTAACCCTCTGTCCTTCTGTCCCTCTGTCCACGATGAGTCGCACGCAGGAGTCGTTATTCAATATGAAAGCTCGGGGACCAACCCGCAAACCGCACTCACTTTTCCACATTCTCATATCTTGAACACCTCTATATATTATAAGAAAGGCACGCACGTCCTGAGCCACGATGCGCTTTCAGGGGATGTCCAAGGGCTTCCGCCATCTGCGCAAAAGCCGCGGAGGCACACAGCCACATCCCCTCGTGAGACAGCCACGGCCACAACCAATTAAAAACAAAACCCCGAATCTGTCCGGCCTATATGTTTCTGTCTCTTCCATCTGACAAGCCCGTCCGCCCTGCTACCCACCCAACAACCGACGGTTACCGCGTTCCTCGCTTGGCTACAGATACACATACATACATACATACATACATGCATATAGACATGCATACGTACTTACAGACCCAGCATCGCACCGCAGTCGTGCAATGACACCTTTATATCCTCCTTCGAGTACGGGATCGTCCAGCTCATCATCCCAAACGCATCTGCAGACCACCACCACCACCACCATCGACACCACGAGGCCAGCACACGCACACGCACACGCGCACGCACACAAAGCCTCACGCCCCTCGGCGGACAGCAGAGCCATCACGGCGCCCTCGTCCGCTCCAGCTCGTCACGCAGCATTCCCCGTCGTCCTCCGTCGGAGCCAACTCTCTTTCCTGCTGCCTTTGCCCACACCATTACCGCAGCAGCAGCAGCCTCACCACCAGCACTAGCTGCTGGCCGTACATTGCATTACATCATCATGCCCCTTCCGCGCCTCTCCAAAAAAAGGCCTCTCCACACTCGGCTGATAGGGGTCCAACACAATCCACCCGCGGCTCAAAACAACAAAAACACACCTTTATCCGTCGCCAATCGGCTCCTACCAGTCACCCCCACTGCAGTCAGCTGCGCAGTCAGCTACATCAGTACACCGCCGATATAGCTCCGTTGCCGATTGAAACCCTGCCTGGCAGCCAGCTCAAACAGCCAGCTGCTAAAAGCGCACACCGCACGGAGCCATCAAACTTTCCCTCTACCTCTTTCCCAAAACTGTACACCAAAACAACGGTGTGCTAGTAACCCACAATCCGCACCGCAGCACCTCCTCCCCCTCCTCCTCCCCCGAATTCCGGCCCAATCTCTTCTTCTTCTTCCCCGGATGGGACCCCTCCCTGGAGCTGTAGCAGGTGCAGATGCTCCGCTAGCGGTGATGGCGGCGCGTCCGCCTCCAGCGCTGACGGCTCCAGCGTCATGCGCCCCGACGGCGACATCATCGGCTGGTACGGCAGCCGCCATGGCGGCGGCACGCCCATCTTTTCCATGAGCTCCTTGCCGGTGGCCGCCGGCACTTGCATATGCTTGCTGCGCAGCTCGCAGACGCTGAGGTCGGCACCCACGCACACCAAGTGCTCACACAGCCACCTGGGAACGCAGGAGGGAACGCAGGAGGGAACGCGGGTAAGCGCGGGAAACGGTAAAATGCAGGGAAAGATATGCAACAGCCAATGGGCAAAGGAGCGGCAAAACCCGCCTTACTGTAAGAGCTCCTAGGCAACCTAAGGCCCCAAAGTTGTACCTATCCTTTTACGCATCACGCTAGAAGGGGAAAAGAGCCGGCTGCCGATGTCCAAAAAGTACTAGTGGAGAACATTCTAAGAGCGCATGAAGCAGGTATTTCCATACAGGGAACACGCATATGGATGTGCGACGGTACGAAAGCAGGCTTTGTGAATGCCGGTGGCATGGCGCCAGCCTTCAGATGGTGGTGGGGGGAGCGGGAGGGTGAGCGCAAGGAAAGCGGAGCCACGCCACGCACACCCATTTCAACGATTGGGCCTACTGATCGACATGGCATGGCACGGCATGGCATGGCATGAAGACAAATGAGAGGGAACGTATTTCAGAGGAAGAGCTCGTTAATACACCTTCGACGGGTAAAACGCAGCTCAAAAGGTGCTTTAACACGCGCAAAACAACACAGACACACCAACACAGCCACAGCCACGTCCGCAGTTCATTCCGTGGAAATTCCCACCACACGTCCCGAATAGTCGACTATTCGGGACGTGCTTTCATATCATATGAGGAAGCGAGC